TGCTGCTGCAGCGTCCACCTGTAACCTGCTTCCCGTATTGCGTTTGCTGCTGCTGCTGCTGCTGCTGCTTTTGCTTCAGCCCAATCAGAGAAGCTGCTGCAGGGCCGCAGGGAAACTCTCGTAGCGCTGTGCCCGGAACACGAGCACTTACACACAGAACTTCGCGAGGTAACGTGGCCTGCTGCTGCTGCAGCTGCTGCTGCTGCTGCTGCAGCCGCTGATGCTGCTTTTGCTGCTTCGCGCTGCAGCTGCGCTCCCCTTCTGCTTCTGCGTCTTAGGCTGAAGATACACCTCAGGGCGCCTTGAGGCTGCACCCGGTGTCTCAGCTGTGGCAGCTGCTGAAGCGATCTGGAGATGCGCTGCAGGTTCGTGCTGCAGTTGCTGCTGCAGTCGCTGCTGCAGCTGCTGCATCAGTTGCTGCTGCACTTTCTGCTGCACTTGCTGCTGGCTGCTGCTACACTTGCTGCTGCGTTCGCTGCTACTGAAAGCTGCGTTTCTCCTGCCATGCGCGTCTGGATTGCGGTTAGCCACAATTGCTGCTGCTGGGAGCAATTGCTGCTGCTGCTGGCGCTATTTTTGCTGGCTGCAGCTGCTTCTACTGGTAGTGGGTGCTGCTGCCGCTGCTGCTGGGTACTTCTGCTGCTGCTGCTGCTGCTGCGAACTCTTCAGAAAGCCCTGGACTGCCAACGCGAACAGACGGCGTGGGGCGCCCGAGTCAGTGCTTTGCTGCTCCAGGTGACCTTCCCCTGCTGCTGCAGTTGCTGTTACTGAGGCTGCTGCTGCTTCCGTTGCTGCTGCTGCTGCTGCCGAAGCTGTTGCTGCTGCTTGCGCATGCTTTTGTGTGTCTACTGAAGGAAGTGCACGAGACGCTGAAGGCCGTCGAGAGGCTTTGGCTGCGATTGCACAGTCTCTGCTAAGCAGCAGCAGCAGCAGCAACTGCTACAACAATAGCAGCAGCAGCACCATTTGCTGCTGCTGCTTCCTCAACCGCTTCGATAAGTGCCCTATGTAGGCGCCTGCGCCGGCGCTGAGGCTGCAGCAAAGCTTAAAGTTCTGAAGCTGCGGAAAAGCAGCACTAGCAGCAGCCGCTACAGCAGCGGGCGCGGCAGCAGAAGCAGCTGCTGCAGCAGGATCCTAAGATGTGTTTGCTGCTGTGGCCTCTAGAGGCAGAAAAGAGGCAGCAGCCACGGGGTGTACATACACCTCAGGTTTGACTGACAATGCTGGAGCCCTGCCGCTCAACGAAGACGCACTGCATGCAGCAGCAGAGAGCAGCAGCTGCTGCTCCTCGCTGCAGCAGACGTAGATGAGCAGCAACAGCTGTAGCAGCCGTGCGAAAAGAGCAGCAGCAGCAGCAGTTGCAGCAGCGGCCGTAGCAGCAGGTGCTGCAGCAGCCGAGTCAATGCCTTAAAAAGATGTACGTAACAGTGGGCAGCAACGCCGTAGCCCACTACAGTAGCAATACTCAGCGGGAAAGCCGCAGCAGCAGCAGCAGCAGCAACAACAGCAGCAGCAACAACAGCAGTAACCGTAACAGAAGCGCCTCAGCTGGGCACCCGCAGATTTAATCGGAGAATAAAAATTCGCTTTGACGATACTACAGCAGCAGTTTGCAGCAGGAGCAATCCTAGCTGCTGCAGCAGCTGCTGCAGCGGCAGCAGCAGCAGATAGAGCCCATTGTCTCCTCGACTCTGAAGAAGCCCCGGCCACTCACGGCCTCCCCCATCCCCATGTTTTGCTGCTGCTGCACTGCAGCAGCTCAACCTGTGTAGACGCTACTGCTGCTGCCGCTGCTGCCTGCAGCAGCAGACCAAAAGCCCCTGCTGCCGCCGGCAGCAGCAAACCAAAACTCCCAGTTGTGCACCTGGCAGCAGCAGCAACAGCGTGGCTGGCGCTGCTGCTTCTGCTTGTCTTCGCCCCTGAAGCACTCACTTGCCGCACGAACTGGCCGCTGCCGCCGCAGCAGCTGCCGCTGCGCATGCGGCTGCAGCAGCAGCAGCTGCTGCTGCTGGCAGCAGCAGCAGCAGCAGCAGCTGCTGCTGCTGCAGAGCTACAGCTGCAGCGGGTAAAGCATGTCCAGAGAAGATGGCAGCAGCTGCACTGATGGCAGCCGCAGCAGCCGCGCAGTGGGACACGCGAGGCTGGTCAGCAGGCAGTGCGACGGCAGCAAAGGCGACAGCGGCAGGAAGGAGCCCAGGCGGCTGTCTGCAGCACACAAGCACAGCTGCTGCTGCTGCAGAAGCATCTGCTGCTGCTGCTGCTGCTGCTGCAGAAGCATCTGCTGCTGCTGCTGCGCATGCGCCTGTTGCTGCTGTTGTGCATGCGTCTGCCGCTGCTGCCGCACTTGTGTCTGCTGCTGCTGCACATGCATCTGTTGCTGCTGCTGCGCATGCATCTGCTGCTGCTGCTGCACGTGCATCTGCTGCTGCTGTTCTCTAGGTAGCTGGGTTTGCTGCTGTTGTTGCTGCTAATTCTGGCTGCTACTATTACACGGCAGCAGCAGCAAGGACACATTTCGCTGCTGCACGGGAGTCCACAGCCAGACGCGGAGCGGCGGCTCAGCGAGCAGCAAAAGGGATCAGCAGCAGCAGCAAGAAAGAAAAGCAACAGCAGCGACGCGCGCAGCAGCAGAAACGACCCACACGCAAGCAACTGCAGCAGCAGCAACAGCAGCAGCAACAGCAGCAGCAAGACGCACCATACTGAGAGTAAGACGGCCCGAGCGAATCTGCTGCTTCTGCTGCCCACGACAGCCACGGACGGGAGGCGCCCCAGTGCCTGCAGCAGCAACAGCAGCAGCAGCAGCAGCGGGAGCTGAAGAAGCAGCAAAACGAAGCCAAAGCACCTCCAGCAATTTGCTGCTGCTGCGCGTCTGGTGCTGCTGGCAAAGACGCACATGTCCGTACACCTGAAGATCTGTGCATGCAAATGCATGCAAACCAAATGAGCATTTTCACTTTTAATGCATTTTCACTTTCAATGCATTTTCACTTTCACTTTTATTTGAGGAATTTGAGTAGTGCGCGCAAGCCTGCACAGATTGCTGCTGCTGCTGTTGCTGCTGCTGCTGCTGCTGCTGCTGCTGCGTACCAGCTGTGAACGACGCCGGCTACGTCTGCCTCGGCGCCAATTTCCCTGCTTGGCTTTTGAATGCTTTTGATGCCAGCGGAAGAGACACAAATGCCTCTCTGAGCAGCAATGGTTTGCTGCTGCTGCTGCAGCAGCAGCTGCCCCTGCTGATGCAGCTGCTGCGCCGCGTCGTCGGCGCCGCCCCACACCTGCTGCTGCAAGCTGCACGCCGCTGCTGCAGCTACGACTCTGCCTGCATTGACAGGTGCAGCGGCAGCTGCAGGTGCTGCTGCTGCTGCTGCTGCTGCTGCTGAGCCGGGCTCAAAAGAAGAGCCCCGGGAAGACACAGGAGGGGACGACGCCGTGTCTCGCCCTGTGTCTCTCGTGCTGCACGTGGCGGGGCTGCTGCTGTCGGCGTTGCTGCTGCTGCTGCTGCTTCTGCTGCTGTACTTTCGAAGCATGACTACAGTGGGAGACACTGCACTGTAGGGCCCCGGCACGTAGTAGAAAGAAGCCGTGCTGCTGTCGGGGGCCCTTGCTGTTTTGAGCTGCTGCAGCGGCGGCGCTGCTAGCCGCTGCAGCAAAGAAGGCTGGCGAAGGTCCAGCAGCAGCACGGAGCCCTTCTCCGACAAGCCCGCAAGCGTTTGCCCTGCAGCAGCAGCAGCAGCAGCAGCAGCGCAATTTCAGCAGCAGCACTGCAGCAGCAGCACTGCAGCAGCAGCACTGCAGCAGCAGCACTGCAGCAGCAGCACTGCAGCAGCACTGCAGCAGACGCCCGCACAGGCGCAGCTCCACGCACAGCAGCAGCACAAAACGAGGAAAAAACAGCAAACGCGGACAGCCACACTGCAGCATCAGCACAGGCCTGCATGGCCAATTCACCCAATGCATCAGCAGCAGCAGCATCACAAGCAGCAGCAGCACAGCAGCAGCAGCACAGCAGCAGCAGCACAGCAAAAGCAGCAGCAGCAGCACAGCAACAATACAGCAGAAGCAGCAGCACAGCAAAGATACAGCGTACTGCGGCGCTTACCGATGATATCAGCGGCAATCACCAGGTCGTCGTCTTGCTGCTGCTGCTGCTGCTGCTGCAGCTGCTGCAGCTGCTGCTGCAGCGGCGCCGTTCGAATCAGCTGGGGAGTGCGCGCGTCGGCTATAAACAGCTCGCGAGAGCAAACGACTACCTGGGTGGCTCTCGACAGCGGCAGCAGCCGCCTGGCCCAGGAGTCTGCTGCTGCTGCTGCTGCTGCTGCTGCTGCTGCCCCGCAGGGGGAAAAGCAACTCGGAGGGTCCATGCGGTTCACACACTGCAGCAGCAGCAGCAACAGCAGCAGCAGCAACAGCAGAAGCACCAAACAGCGCCGTCAGGGCGGTGGGAAAGTCGCGGCAGCAGCGGTGTGTACGTGCTGCTGCTGCAGCTGCTGCTTCTGTGAGGGCTGCCGCTGCCGCTGCTGCTGCTGCTGCTGCTGCTGCTGCTGCTGCTGCTGCTGCTGGGGCTTGTGCGTACCTGCATGCGGTGCAAGTCCACAGCGCACACTGCGCCTGAGGAGAGCAGCACGCCCTGCTGGTGGTGCTGCTGCAGCAGCAGCAGCGCGGGCTCGTCCAGGGCATTCATATCAACTACGAAGCTGCCGCTGCTCCTGGGCAGCTCGAGTTCGCCTTGTGGCCGGATGATCTCGGGTGTACGTACACCCCAGCAGCAGCAGCCGCTGCTGCTGCTGCTGCTGCTGCTGCTCTCGCCGTCCCAGCAGAAAGGCTCCTGCTGCAAGTCATAGACGGCGACGAGGGCAGGCGCAGCCCCTGCAGACGGCAGCAAATGGGGGCGCGGCTGCTGCCCTGCGAGCAGCTTGCTGCTGCTGCTGCTGCTGCTGCTGCTGCTGCTGCAGCTGATGCGCTCCACAGCCGAAGTCCAGCAGCGCGCGCGCTGCTGCTGCAGCGACTGCCCCCACGCGCCTGCTGCTGCTGCTGCCCCCATAAAAGGTGACAGGCAAAAAACCCTGCAGGGCTCAGCCTGCAGCTGCAGCCTTCCCGAGAGTGAAAGGAAGCAGCAGCGGTTTGCTGCGTCTACTGAGAGCAGCAGCGGCGCAGCAGCAGACACGCTGCTGCTGCTGCTGCACAGCACTCCCTCGCCAGTCCAGTTGCGGCCTATGCAACGCGTCAGCACCAGCGGTGCTGCTGCTGCTGCTGCTGCTGCTGCAGCGGGCGGCGCCGCTGCTTCCTCTGCTGCTGCTGCTGCTGCAGCAACGGGCGGGTGCGAAAAAAAGGCCTGGTGCAGCAAAGGCTGCTTGCTGCGCCAGCCCCTCGCAGCAAGCAGCTGCTGCTGCAGCGCGCCCTCAGCGGAGAGCGGCGCAGAGACATACTGCGCCCCAGCCCGCAGCACAGCAGCAGCAGCAGCAGCACAAGACACTGCCTGCAGCTGCGGGCCTGCTCTGCCGCAGCCCACGACGAGGCAGGCTCCAGGCGCCTCTGCTGCTGCTCCAGTGCCTGCTGCTGCGGCCTTTGCTGCTGCTGCTGCTGCTGCTGCTGCAGGCAGGGCTGGCTGCGTGCCCACGCGCCGCCTCCGCAGCTGCTCTTGCTGCTGCTGCTGCTGCTGCTGCTGCTGCTGGTAGCGGCTGCCAGAGTGCAGCGCCAGGCCCGGGGGCTCGAAGCCATAGGGCTCCCTGCCTCTCCAAATGGTCAGCGACTGCTGCTGCTGCTGCTGCTGCAGCAGCAGCAGCATGCAGCTGTCTCTGCGGCGGCAGGATGCCAGCGCGTAGGCCGTGGTCCTGCTTGCTGCTGCCAAGGCGCCCCAGCAAGCTGCGTCGAGGAACAGCAGCAGCGGCAGCACGCCTGCTGCTGCTGCTGCTGCTGCTGCGCAAGGCAAGCCGCTGTGGCAGTGCGTTGCTGCGCGGCCGCAGCGGGAGCTGCAGCAGAGGCGGCACCAGCAGCCAGTAAACTGCCCGGCGCTGCTGCTGCTGCTCCTGCTGCACCCGCAAGGCGTCTTGCTGCTGCAGCTGCAAGCCACTGCGGTGCTGCTGCTGCTGCTGCTGCTGCTGCCGTCACTACTGCTGCTGCTGCTGCTCATGCAAGCCTGGCAGCAGCCGTTTGCGGCCCTCAGCAGCGCGCGCTCCAAGGGACTTTCCCCCGGCACCTGCGAGCTGCTGCTGCTGCAGTCGCCGCCCCACAGCAGCAGTTTGCTGCTGCTGCTGCTGCTGCTGCCAACAGCACTTTGAGGCCTTCTCGCGCTGGGCGCGCGGCGGGGCTTCCGGGCGCTGCGCCGGCCGCCGGGCGCAGCAGCAGCAGCTGCTGCTGCTGTTGCTGCTGCTGGCAGCCACAGCAGCTCATCGTCGCTGTCTCCTGCTGCAGCACGCAGCTCCTGCGACGCCCACAGCACAGAGGCCGGCACTTGCTGCTGCTCTTGCTGCTGCTGCTCCAGCTGCACCAGCTGCTGCTGCAGCCGCAGGCGACTTTGGCGCTGCCGAGACAGCAGGCGGGACAGCTGCTGCTGCTCCGTCTGCTGCTTCGTTTCCGGCTGCTGCTGCTTCTGCTGCTGCTGCTGCTGCTGCTGCACGCAGTCAGCTGCGTCCTCCAGGTTGGCTGGCCGCCGCCGCAGCTTCCCCCGTCGCTGCTGCTGCTGCGGAGTTTCCAGAGGCTGCGACTCTTGCTGCTGCGTTTGCTGCTGCTGCTGCGCTTCCTGCTGCTGCTTTTGCTGCTGCTGCTCCTGCGGCACGCGACGGTCGGGAGCGTGGCGAACGCGGCTCCCGGGGTGGGCTCTTCTGGCTGCCGGCTGCTGCTGCTGCTGCAGGCGCAGCCGGTGCTGCTGCTGCTTCTGCTGCTGCTGCTGCTGCTGCTGCTTGTGGTACTCCGAGATGTGCCGCTGCAGCAAGCGGCAGCGCGGAGCAGCACCAAGCTCCTTCTTTTGCTGCTGCCTGCCTCTGCGGTGCAGCTGCTGCCAGCGCAGCAAATTGTGGTTCGTGAAGAGGCGGGCAAAGGCAGGAGCAGCAGCAGCGCTGCTGCGTGCTGCTGCTGCGCTGCTGCTGCAGCTGCTGCCCGGCCACCTGGGGGTGCGGCACCACTGCTGCGGCCCCCCGCGGCCCTCGTCGGAGGCGCAGCCGCGGCGCGCTGCTGCTGCTCCATCTCTTGCTGCTGCTGCTGCTCCTCCTGCAGCAGAAGCAACAATTGCTGCTAGAGCTGTTGCGCAAGCTTCTGCTGCTGCTGCTCCGTCGCTGCTCTGCTCCGCCAGCAGCAGGTCCCGCCGCAGCCGCGGCGGCGGCCTCAGGCCCCTCCTGCTGCTGCTGCTGCCCGGCTTGCTGCTGCTGCTGCTGCTGGCCGCCCGCAGCTCTCCATCACCTTCCACGCAGGGCTGGCCTACCATACCTGCTGCTGCTGCTGCTGCTGCTGCTGCTGCTGCTGCTGCCTCAAGGGGGCGTGTAGGGAAGCCTCTGCTGCATGGCTGCTGCGCCAAGCGGGAGACAAGAGGCGCCAGGCTGTCGCTGCTGCTGCCGCTCTTGTTGCTACTGCTGCTGCTGCTGCTGCTGCTGCTGCTGCGGTTACTACTAAGGATGGTTCACATGCCAGAGGATTTGCTCTGCCGCTACCCTGAAGCCGCAGCAACAGCAGCCGCAGCATGCCAAACCCTAAACCCTAAACCCTAAACCCTCGAGCCAACCCCACTGCGCTAGGGTGCTGTGGAGCTCCAGCACCTGCAGGCAAGGGTTTGGGGCTTTTGCGGCGGCGTCTCATTCGTAAGCATGCTTTGCTACTGCCGCCGCTGCTGCTACTGCTGCTGCTGCTGCTGCTGCTGCTGCGGCTGCTGCTGCTGCTGCTGCTAGCTACGTTGCGTACAAGTTGCGTTTGTGCCGGGCCTGAGAAACAATAGCGACGCAGGTGAGGCAGAGAGACTAAAATAGAGCTGCTGCTGCTGCTGCTGCTGCCTGGCTGCTGCTGTTGCTGTGCTGTTGTCACGGGTGTTCGTGATCGGTGCAGCAGCAGCACTGCAGCTGCGCCGCTGCTGCTGCTGCTGCTGCTAAAGAGTTCAATTAAATGAGAGTTACAAGCAGCAAAGAAGACTTTTAGAGCCGCCAGACAAAGGCCTTGAGCTGCTGCCTTCTTCTTTAGTGCGCGCCAACCCAACCGATGCATCGCAGACCCTCGTGGGGCCCCCAGCCCCAAACCCTAAACCCTAAACCCTAAACCCTAAACCTCGCGCGAAAGGCGTGAAACCCTTGGCCTTCATGTTGCAAAAAGCCATTTGTCATTACTACAAATGAACTGAGGAGGCTTTTAAATGCACATTGGAGGGGAACAACAGCCCGGTTTCGCGAGGTGTATGTACACCCGACTCCGCCGCCGTGGCAGCGAGCCCACTCCTGAAGCTGCTGCTGGGGTGTACGTACACCTCAGTGAAGGCAAAAGCTGAGGCTGCTGCAGCAGCTGCGTTGCTTCTGCTGCTGCAGGGAATTGCAGGGGCGTGTCAGTGCCGGCTGCGCTGCCTTCCGCGTGTATCGACAGGGGTGCTGCTGCTGCTGCTGCTGCTGCCGCCGCCGCTGCACTGCACAGCAATCAGCTACTGGCGCTGCTGCGCCGCGAACAGTCGAGCTGCTGCTGCTGCTGCTGCTGCCGCACTTCGAGCGGCTTCCGCTGCTGCCTCAAGCGAGCTGCCGTTGCTGCAGTGCCTGGCGGGCTGCTGCTATGGAAGCTCTTTGCTGGGCCGCTGCTGCTGCTGCTGCTGTCTGCGGCGCAAGCCAAATGTCACCCCAGTGAGGTGTACGTACACCTCATTTCATTGGCCAACTGCAGTGTCCAGCGGAGTTTGCATGCATGGAAAGAGGAAATAAAATGCAATTAATGAAATAAAATGCAGAAAGAGACAAAAGAGGAGATTAAAAAAAGTTAAAGGCGGAAGGAGCTACACACGAGCTAGCTGGAGTCTGCGCGCCGCCGGCGCCAGGCCTGCTGCATATGCTGCTCTTGCTGCTGCTGCTGCTGCAACATCTGCTGCTGCTGCAGTGACTGCTGCGGACTGCTACGGTCTTCCTTAAGCTCCAGCGCTTGCAGCAAATGTACTGCTTTGACTTCGGCGCCTAAGAGCCCTAGGGGCCCCGAAAGACCAGCAGCCAGCAGCAGCAGCAGCAGCAGCAGCAGCAGCGGCAGCAGTAGCAGCGTAGCCGCATGCAGCTGCAGCGAATGAGGGCTGACTCAGTCACCAAACAGCAGACGCAGGCCTCTGCTGCAGCAGCAAAGCCAGCGCGCTGCTGCTGCAAGAGCAGCAGCAAAACCAGCGCTATGCTGCAGCTTCGCTGCTGACAGCCTCATTGTGGGTGCTCTGAGCTGTACGTACACTGCAACTGTGCTGCTGCAGCAGCAAAACAAAGCAGCTGCTGCTGCTGCTGCCAGTAGGCTTTACTCCCAAGCTCTCTGACTTCAAACAGTTGCACAGCCAGTTACAGGTTGCTGTTGCTGCTGCAACAGTAGCAGCTTCTGCTGCTGTTGCAGTAGCATGAGCAGCAACGGCAGCTGCCGCTGCTGCAGCAGCAGCTGCTGCTGCTGCTCACGCTGACGGAGCAGCTTGTGCTGCCCGACTAAATTCAGGACAAACCCCTACGGGGGAGTCAGAAGTTGTCATAGCTGCTGCCGCGCTGTTAGCAGCAGCAGCAAAAGCAGCAGCAGCAAAAGCAGCTGCAGCAGCAACAGTAGTTCGTGCGGTCTTGCGCCCAGGCCCAGCAGCAGCAGCACAAGCAACTGCACAGTGCCGCTACTCTGCGGCAGCAGCAACAATAGCAACAGCTGCTGCTGCTGCAGCAGACTCAAATCAACCAGCTGCTGCTGCTCCGCAAGCAGCAGCAGCAGCAAATCAGCCAGGCTGCTTCACTGTTCGCCACTGCTGTTTGCAGCCTCAAGCAGGGCGAGTACGTGCAGTCGGCGCTCGAACAAAGACTGCAGCAGCAGCAGCAGCAACAGCAGCAGCAGCAGCAGCAATCCATGCGTGGCCACGAAATACATGCGGCGAAGCATGCTACACTGGTGAAGCCACAGGCAGCTGCAGCAGCAACGGCAGCAGCAGCAGCGGGAGCCAGAAGACAGCACACCAGTTACAGCAGCTCCTTAAACAGCAAAAGCAGCAGTTGCAGCAGCAGCAACAACAGTAACAGCAGCAGCAGCAAGAATATTACCAGCCTTACCTTAGCACGGAGGTCTGCAATGTTCTGCTTCACCATTGCTCTCCTGCAGGAAACTCAACCCAAACAACCCTTAACCCTAAACCCTAAACCCTAAACCCTAAACCCTAAACCCTAAACCCCAATCCCAAACCCTAAACCTCAAACCCTAAACGCTAACGCACTCAGTGGCGTTTGCCTGCTGCATCAGCACGGCCTGCCTAGCGGAGTCAAATGCCTCAAACTGAGAACGGCATATCTCAGAGCGCCGCTGCAGCAGCAGCAGCAGCAGCAGCAGCAGCAGCACAAACACACAAAGAGAAGCAACATAAGAAACTTGCGCGGCAGCAAAATACAGCACAGCCAACACTCAGCTGTACCTACGCAGCAGCTGGGGTGAAAATAGCAGCAGCAGCAGCAGCAACAGCAACACAAGTAGCAGCAGCAGCAGCAGCAGCAGCAGCAGATGCAAAAGCTGCTTACTGCGTGTGTTTCCATCTTGTTATCCTTCAGGCACCGCAGATAAGCCACGCCTGCAGCAGCAAACAGCAGAGAGCGAAGCTTCAACAGCAGCAGCAGCAGCAGCAGCAGCAAATGTACGTGGACGGATAACGGATCTGCAGCAGCAACTGCAGCAGCAGCATCAGGCCTACCTGGAACGCACACAGGGTTTTCCAAGTCAGCCGCCTCTCTAAACATTTTCATGTACATATCAGCCTGCAGCAGCAGCAGCAGCAGCAGCAGCAGCAGCAAACATGAGGAACAGCTGCAGCCAGAATCTCCTGCTAGAGCACCACCGGACCCTCCGCAGCAATCAAAAGAAACGGTGGTGGCATTAACAGCAGCAACAGCAGCAGCTGCTGCTGCTGCTGTGAACGTAGAGGCAGCAGCAGCAACCGCAGCAGCAGCAGCAGCTGCAGCAGCAGCAGCTGCAGCAGCAGCAGCTGCAGCAACAGCAGCGAAGTACCTTCATCTCCCGGGCGTCTACGCTGAGCGCGTCCTCGAGCTTCGGCTGCAGCAAAAAATCACCATAGCTGCACTGTGCCCGTCGCCGCAGCAGCAGCTAGAGGGGACAGCAGCAGCACCTGCTGCAGCAGCAGCAACCGCAGCAGCAGCAGCAGCAGCAGCAGCAGCAGCAGCTTGCCTCCCCAGTCACGAGGTCTGTCCACAGGGCTCTCTGGCCGTCTGGCAGATCCTTACAATTCACCGACAGCCCCACGAAGTTGTGCCGTTGCAGCAGCGCATGCAGAGCGCGGTGACGCTGCAGCAACAGCAGCAGCAGCAACAGCAGCAGCAGCAGCAGCAGCAGGGCCACTGTGAGAAGCCAGCCACACTTATCTCTCCATCGGCTGCAGCGACAGTGTATTGTTGCAGCAGCGACTGGTGGGGTTGCTGCTGCTGTTGGTTGCCTCTGCTGCCGCTGCTGTGTAGCTGCTGCTGCCGCTGCAACTGCTATTCCTGCAACTATTGCTGCCACTGGCTGTTCCCGCTGCCGCCTCTGCTGCTGCTGCTGCTGCTGCTGCTGCTGCTGCTGCTGCTGTGGCGTCTGATAACTCTGGGCAGCGCAGCTGCGGCTACTGCTGCTGCAGCAAACGGAGCCTGTACGTAAGCGGGAGAAACGCAGCTCGCTCCAGCAGCAGCAGCAACAGCAGCAGCAGCAGCAGCTACAGCAGCAGCAGCAGCAGCAGCAGCAGCAAGATGCCCTGCTGCTCACCTCCAAAGCCACCTTCCTCTCCAGAAACCAGTCCTTGAGTTCTTTCTCGAGGGCCTGCAGCTCCTGCTGCAGTGTCTCGACAGCTAGCTGCCGGCGGTCCACAGGAGTCGCCACAATCCCAACTCCAGCAGCAGCAAAGCTGCCCAGCGCCCCAAGCAGGCGCCCGCAGAGGGGCATCTGAAGCAGCAGCAGCAGCAGCAGCAGCAGCAGCAGCGGCAGCAGCGGCAGGGGTAAGGCCTCGTGCGGAGGAGGAGCTGAACTGCAGCAGCTCTGATGCTGCTGCTGCTGCGGCTGCGGCTGCAAGGGCGGCGACGCAAGCTGCAGGTCAAGTGGCACCGGGTCTTCAATGACAGAGCAGCAGCAGCAGCAGCAGCAGCTGCTGCTGTTGCTGCACCACCAGCAGGTACGGCAGCCACAGTAACGGCAGCGGCGATCCCAGCAGCAGCAAATAACGTAGCAGCAGCAGCAGCAGCAGAACCAGCAGCACCAGCCTCACTTTGAGAGTGAAGAAGGGAGCCGCGGAATCGAACGTGAGAAGCCTGAGGGGGCTTCTAGGGTTTGCCCCCAGCTGCTGCTGCTGCAGCTGCTGCTGATTCTGCTAGTGTCGCTGCTGCTGCAGCTGCTGCCGCTCTTCTTGCTGCTGCAGCCACTACCTCGTGATTCAGCCGGAGCGGCAGCCACGGGATCGCCTGTAAGGCTGCTGCAGTTGCTGCTGCTGCCTGGCTCGCAGTGGGGCCCCTTCTGTTGCTCTTGTCTTGTTTTTAAATGTGTTTTTTTGTACTAAAGTACACATTCGCTGGTTCCCTTCGTCAGCAGCTGCTTACGAGAGCAGCAGCAGCAGCAGCAGCAGCGGCAGCCGCCACTGCTGCTGCATGCGCCGCTGGGAAGTGCTGCCCAGGGAGCGAAATCGTTTCTGTCTTCGCGCCTGTATTGTTTTCTGCATCAGTTAGCTCAAAAGGGCTCTTGAAATAGGTCGTGGTGTTGCGCTACGAGCAGCAGCAGCGGGCCGAGCAGCAGCAGCAGCAGCAGCGGCTGCAAGTGTCCTGTGCTCTTGAGCAGCGGTAGACACAGCAGCAGCAGCAGCACAGCGCGCCAGAATGGCAGCAGGGGATCTTCCCTCTTCCGGCGCCTCAGGCGCCTCCCCGGCCTCCTCCTCCCCCTCCGCAGCAGCAGCAGCAGCAGCAGCAGCAGCAGCAGCAGCGCCTCTGGCCCTCGAAATCACCCAAACTGCCCACTTGCTGGGCGAACAAAATGGACTTCGCCACCAGGACTTCAGCCGCTACAGAAAATACCTCAGCCGCAAACTCGGGCGGCTGCGGCAGCAGCTGGATGCGAAAAACGGCAGACACAGATACACCCCCAAGCCGCTGCCCGACAACATTCAGGACGAGAGGCACGCAAGCCTGCTGCTGCTGCTGCTGCTGTTGCTGCTGCTGCTGCTGCGCCTTGCGGCGGTGGTACTGCTGCTGCGCTGCGCGGCGGCGCTGCCGCTGCGTCTTCTGGCGGTGCTACTGTTGCTGCTGCTGCTGCGATTAGTAGTGGAACTGCGTCTGCTGCTGCTGCGCTTTGTGGCGACTCTGCTGCTGCTGCTGTTGCTGCACGTTGTAGTGACGCTGCTGCTGCTGTTGTGCTTAGTAGTGGCGCTGCTGCTGCTGCTGCCCTTGCTGCTGGCACCGTTGCCGTCGTCTGTTTGTTTTTAGCTGTTTTGCTGCTGCTCAGCTGTAAGAGGAGGTGCTGCTGCTGCTGCTGCTGCTGCTGCAGGTATTTGCTGCTGCTTCTGGTCCAAGCTGAACGGGCGTGGGCGTACGGCATGCAGCTCAAGAGCGACAATGCGAACTCTGTGACGCCTGTACGTTGATGCTGCTGCAGCATCGATTGTAACTGCTGCTGTTGCTGCTGCTGCTGCGGTTGCTGCTGCTGCTGGTGTTGTTGCTGCTGCTGAGGCTGCTGCTGCTGCGGTTGCTGCTGCTGCTGTGGTTGCTGCCGCTGCCTACCTTGTGTGTCGGCTGTTTCATTCAGCAGCGGCAGCAGCAAACGGTAGCAAGTAGCAGCAGCGTGCCTGTGCTCAAATTTTGACTGTTGCTGCTGCTGCTGCTGCAGCCGCCGCGTGCAAGCCCTGCTGCTGCTATTTGTGCTGCTGCTGCTGCTGCTGCTGCAGAACGCGAAGCTGCGGGCGCACTCTATCCGCCGCTTCGCCAAAGCCGTTTCTTATGCGCATCAGCTGGAGGCCCTTTGCAAGGGGCCCCGGGGGGCCCCCAAGAGCTCCCCGGAAGCAGCAGCAGCAGCAGCAGCAGGTGCTGCTGGAGAGGCAGCGGATGCAGCAGCACCAGCAGCAGCAGCAGAGGAGGAGGAAAGGGGCCCTCTGTGCGACGGAAAGACCTGCTTGGACGCACTGGCTTACCGCTGCTTCATGGAGTCTGTGCTGCAGCAGGAAAAGGAGCAGTGGACAGCAGCAGCAAACACGCTGCAGCAGCTGCAGCAAGTCTACGTGCAGCTGAAGCACCTCAGCAGCACGCAGCCAGAACTCGAGAAGCTCTACAAGGCGAAGCTGGAGGCCCTTGACCCGCTGCTGCGTCTTTGTGTCTTCCACTCGGGCGACATCCGTGCTGCTGCGCTGCAGCAGCAGCAGCAGCGGGCAGCAGACAGAAAGAAGCAAGCAGCAGCTGCTGCTGCAGCGGCTGCCGACGGCAGCAGCAGCGGCGGCGTAGCTATGTGGAGAGGCGCCCCAGTGAGCCCCAAGAAGGACAAGCCCAGAGCAGCAATTGCTGCAGCACTCGCCAACTGGGAGCAGCAGCAGCTGCTGTCTGTTGAAGCGCTGCGCGCAGTTGCTGCTGCTGAAGCAGCAGACATCAAGGCAGCAGCGCCGGCACTCATGGAAAGGGATGCACAGGGATGGGCAGAACAGTGCGCTCGCTGCTGCTGCTGCTGCTGCTGCTGCTGTTGCTGCTGTTGTGGGTGTTCCTGCCGCAGCTGTTGAACTCTGGCTGCTGCCAGCGCCTGACCTCTGAGCTGTATTTGCGTGCTCTGCTGCTGCTGCTGCTGCTGTTGCTGCTGCAGGTATGGCGAGGCGTCTGCCCGGTTTCGTGGCTGTGTGGAGCTGATACACAAAGAGCTGATGGTGAGTTAGTAGGCTGCTCCGTTTGCTGCTGCTGCTGCGGCCTTTGCTGCTCTCTGCTGCCACTGCTGTTGTGTGTGTAATGCCTCTGCTGCTGCTGCTGCTGCTGCTGCTGCTGCAGGCGGAGCCTGAAGAGGTGTCATGGCTGCAGTGTCAAGGTACGTCGACGCATTCACACGCAGCAGCTGCTGCTACTTCCGCTTTGAAGCATGCGAGTTTGCTGCTGCAGCGGTAGCTGCTGTGATGCTTGGCAGTCGCCATCACTGCTGCTGCTGCTGCTGCTGCTGCTGCTGCTGCTGCTCTTTCTGCAGGTTTCTGCATGGATATGAGTCGATGCCTGGAAGTCGAGCGGGACGCGCTGATGCTGCTGCGATGCCTCCTCAGCCTTGCTGCTACAGATGGTTAGTTGTACTGCTGCTGCTGCTGCTCCTGCTGCTGCTGCGTCAGGTGGAGCTCTCCGGCTGCTGCTTCTAAACTGCTGAGTTATGTCTAATTTGCTTTTCCTGTTGCTGCTGCTGCTGCAGCGGATCTGAAAGGAGGTCGGGAGCTGGCAAGGGCTCAGGAAGGATTTCGTTTTGCAAGCCTTTTGCTGCAGGTACGTTAGCGCTGCTGTTGCTGCTATCGCCGGTACTGCTTTGTGGGGTGCCCAGCGTCGCTGAACTAAAGACTCTGCTGCTTAGTGCTGCAGCTGCTGTCTGTGTCGCTGTTGCTGCTGCTGTTGCTGCTGCTGCAGGGGCTAGAGCGCATGCAAGGAGAAGAGACGCTGCCCGAAGACCGGGGGCCGCAGCTGCAGCGATGGGTGCAGGTTGCCAAGGACAGCAAGTAGGCGAAGCAGCAGCAGCAGCAGTAGCAGCAGCAGCAGTAGCAGCAGTAGCAGCAGCAGGCTCTGCCACTAGTGCACCTGCTGGTGCCCTGTGTGCTGCTGCATTCCCCTGCGGTGCATGTACACTGCGCTGCATGCAGAGCGACATGTTTGGCAACGGCCATCGCCTGTGGAGGAAGTTTAGCTGAGGCTTTCGGTGCGCTGCAGCACAGCAGCAGCAGCAGCAGCTGAAGGTGCTGCTGTTGCGCAGCTGCAAATACTTGACACCTTCCGGAAAAAGCCACCACGACTGGCTAACTAATTCCTAATCTGCTGCTGCTGCTGCTCCTGCTGCAATGCTCTTTATGCTGCATGCGTCGTGCTGTCTTCAGTGTTGGCGCGGGCTGTCTCTACGCGGCAGGTTCCGCTGACACTGAAACCCGAGGTAAGAAGACTGCTGCTGCTGCTGCTGCTGCTGCTGCTGGTGCTAGTGTGGTGGTGTCGCCGCTGCAGTGCGTTCTTAAGGAAGAGTGTCACTTATCGTTATTTCACTTTTTCGCAGCTGCTGGCGGTTACAGCATTGCGGCCGTTACTGCTATTTTTTGCCTTGAATGTGCTGCTGCGGCTGCTGCAGCTGCTGCAGCTGCTGCAGCTGCTGCGTCATGCCTGTTTTGTGGCTTGAATTTCTTGGGCGTGCCTGCAGCTTGCTGAAGATCCCCACGAGCGCATCGATCTGCTTCTGGCCGCCATCTATGTAGGAAGAAGCCCGGTTGCTGCTGCTGCTGTTACCGATATTTTTGGCGGCGCCTGTTGCTGCTGCTGCTCCGTCAGTTGCTGCTGCTGCTTCTTTGTTGCTGCGTGTTTGCTGCTGCAGAGGGTCACGGCCGTCGCTGTGGGGCAGCGCGTGTGCCGCTACCTGTGCGCACTTCTCCGTCGTGAGCTGCAATTTCGGGTCCTAGGGTTTAGGGTTTATGGATTAGGGTTTAGGGTTTAAGTTATGCGCCACGTGGGGAGGGTTTGCGGCTTAGGGGTTAAAGCTTAGGGCTGAGAGAGGGTTTGCTGCGAATCCTTTGGCGGCTGCCGATTCACACTGCCCAAATGGGGGCAGCAGCAACAACGATTTTCTGTTGCTGCTGCTACTGGAACTGCTGCAGCAACCACTGTTTACTTTCTTTTGCTGCGGCTGCTGCTGCTGCAGAGACGCAAAACCTCCAGTCCTCAGCGCCTTGCGCCGCAACCACTCGAGAAGCCATGGGAGAGTCAGCAGAAACGTCTGTACAGAAGCAGGTACACGCTGCTGCTGCTGCTGCTGTTGCTTTGAGTTAGTTTCTGCTGCACTGGTTGTTGTTTAGACGGGTTGAAGGCTTGCTGCAGCAGCTCAGACAGCTGACTCTCCTGCCACTGCTGCTGCTGCAGTGGTTTTGGCTGCTGCAGCTCATGTAACTGCTGCTGGTGCTGCTGTTTGTGCTGCAGCTGAACTCAACAGTCGGGCGTTTGCTGCTTCCTGCTGCTGAGCCGATCGCCTGCAAGCCTCATCTCTTTGACTTGGTAAGCCTGCGCCTGCATGCGGCTCTCCGCGTGGCTTTTTAGAGGCAGACACCCGCAGCTGCAGCAGCAGCAACAGCAGAGCAGCAGCAGCAGCAAGAACAACGGTTCGGGACTCATTTTGCTGCTCGTCTCAGGCCATTTCCTCCCTTAAGCCTCCCGACTTGTCGAAGAAAACTGGAACTTCGACAGGGCGCCGTTTGGGCGGTTTGCTGAAGTCGCTGTGGGGCCGTTAGCGGCCTGTGGCTGCAGTTCATTCTAGCGTTTTTCTAAATGTGTCTTCATTTTGTTCTTTTTGAACAAATAAGACAATTTCCACTTCCTGGCAGTATGCCTTCTTGCCTTTTCTTTGTTGCTTCTCCTTCGCCAGGCGATGGAAACAGCTGCGCTCTGCAGGCTCGAAATGCAGCAACCACTTTGCTGCCCACTTTATCCCGACGCATTTGCTTCTCAAACCTTTTTATCTTTTTATTCTTTCCCATCTTATGCACGATTCGGTTTATTTCAGTCCTGCCGTCTGATTTCTCTCTTTCCCCTGCATCTCCTTGCACTCGCCTTTCCAGCCAGAGCGCAGCAGGAGGTTTGCTGTTGGTGCTGCTGCTTCTGCTGCAGCTCCTGCTGCTGCTTTGTGGTGGGTGGCCTGGCGGGTGTGCGGGGCGGCGGAGTGGAACTAAACAATAGTTGGAAGCTGTTGTTTTGTAGATCCCGACTCCCCTGATCAAACTTTTGCCCACTGAGCACCACGGTAGAGACGCAATATTGATCATTACCAGTGTTGGTCTAGGTTTTCAGTTTTTTGCATCCGCTGTTGCAGATAGTTGCCCGTGGCTAGCTGCAGTTAGCTGTGTGTCTGTGCCCGTGGGTCCCGCGATTTGCGCTGCTTCATAAACTTCCGAGAGGCGTACGCAGCAGCTGAGCAACAGAGCGACTTGCGTTTTAACGAGGAATATTCCTAATGCGGAGCAGAAAAAGAATCTCGAAACAAAATCCTTGACTGTGTGTCGCTTTAGTTAAGCACCACACGCAGCAAAGCGAGGCAGCGCCCGCAACTGAGCTGATTCCTCTTAGCTCTCCGGGGGCGCTCTGTGTGCCGCTGCATGCATGCATGCGTGCACATACAAATGCATGAATGCATGCATTTGTATGTGCACGCATGCAAGGTGCTGCAGCAGCTGCTTCCCAGAGCCAACTGCGGCAGCAGCCATGTCTGAGGGTCTGAGGGACCCTGCCATGCACGCAAGGCAAATGGCCTTAATAAGCATTAGTGTCTTTTCAACAAATATATCGCCTTAGTAAGCATTAGTGTCTTTCCAACAGGTTATTTCCAAACTGCGCCATCGCAGGCATAGTGCAGCGCAGCAGATTTCTTTATGCTGTTCACTCAGCAGGCTAGCCTGGAGACCCCAGCAAGTCGCAGAAAGCCAGAATTGTACTGCGCTGCTTGAGTAGATTCCGCAGCAACAGAGGGCTCTGCAGCCAAGAAGGGCTCCCACTGCTTCTCCAGCTGCAGCTGAGGGGCCCCTCCTTAGCCTGAGCCAGTGGTGCAGTTTGTTGTGAGTTTTGCTGCAAGATTTCACGCTCAGTGGACCTGCGCTGCGAGGTCGTAGCTAAAGCTCTACGTGGCCGTGCAGACCACTGGACCCAGCGGCGTGCAGTTCAAAGAAGATAACAAGAGCCTTCTTTTTGGCCAGCGGGAGGCAAGAGCTTCTATCTAAAAAGGATGGCTGGCTGGGAAGTACAAAAAATGAGGTGCTGAGTCACGCTGTACTGGCCTTGGGACCTTCATGGTCAATGTGTGCATGTACATGAAGACACGCACGCAATGTTTCATTGTCTTTTATTTGTATGCGTACAAGTGTACACGCATATATATATGTACACGCATATGTATATGTAAGCATGGGCACAAATATGTTGATATACGCGAGTGTTTATATGTATGAAGCTTCTATGCATACGTGTATGATTAGAATGCATTTGGACTCGCTTGCTTATCCTCGCCACAGCGCCTTTCTAAACCATCTTACATTGCGCTAGGGTTAATAAGCACTGAAAATGGCTAAAGGGCGCCAAATTTGTACTCAGCAACTCAAGATATGGCAATAAAGTGAGATGTATTGTCCTGCGGATAAGGCCGACGGCGGCTGCTGCCAGGGCCTCCGTAGCTCTGCAAAAAAGAGCAGGAGGCGCAAGCGTATCTCGAGTTATTTGAAACCCTGTAACTCCTTCCAGTAGAAATTGAACATATCTTGAAGTGCTGCTAGGGCCTAACTGCGCGCACTGGAGGGGTAGCTTCAGTGTGCATCGATGCGTAGCGCCCATCTTTTTGTTCCCCTGTGCAGTAACAGCAAAATCAAATTCGATAAATAAGCAAAGTTGAGGTCGTGCGCAACGGAAAGGCAGAAGGAGCAACTGCTGCAGCAGCTGCTCGCTGACAGCCCCAAGCAGCCACGAGTAACGGGCATAGGCAGGCAGGGCTCAGGCCCAATTAGCGAATGAAGTGGGGCCCTAATGGCAGCCGCTGGAATCCTCCTTGTTTTTTTCTTAGACGACGGCAGGAATACCGAATAGGGGCCAAAAGAACGCAACTTCCCTCGCCACGTAGACCCGCAACACAATGGGGGGCGGGGGCGGCGGCGCCCTCAACAAGCTCTTTCCGGGCTACAAGGACAAAATATGGATGAAGGTCCCCGCACAGGTGCATTTATAGCCCCTTATGCTTGTGGAAACCGTGAAGGAGCGCCTCACGGCGCCCCGGAAACTGTAGTTGAAATGCGCAGCAGCAGCGGTGGAACCGAGGCAGCTCTGGCGAAGCTGCGACTGCTGTAACCATCTGCTAGACCTCCAGCAGCCCAAAATTACAGCGAAATGGGCAGAAGCGTCTTACGAAGCTCCCAGACGGCGCACAGTGCCCCCAGGGAGCGGGCCGGCTCCAGTTCAAGCTTCTTGCGCCGGCGTTTCTGGTGCTCTCAGCTGCAGCGGCACCTGCAGGCATGTTCAGTCATGCATTTGTATGTGTTTGCTGCAGTGGCGGGAGCGGCTGGTGCGCCACTGGAACACGACTTACGAGAGGCAGGTCTACGCGCAGTGCGTGGTGTTCAACCAGCGGCTGCAGACCTACAGCAAGACAGTGCTGGACCCGCTGCGCCCCGACGAGAAGTACAGCCTTCCTGCCGTTGACTACAAAAGGCAGAAGGCTAGGGGGACTTTGGTGGAAGGTGCGGACTTTTATATTCCCGACAAACACGCACAGAACCGCTTAGCCCGCCCTTTCGAGCCGTACACGGAGGAGGAGCAGGAAACGCGCCAGCGCTACAAGTACCAGAAGTAAGGGCTCATTTATTGCATGGAAGCACGAAACTAAAGCATATATTCTGGTCATATTTGTTTTACTTGGAGCATTTGCGCCCATAAGCGTACTTGGACTATTATGTTCAAAACGGCAGTAGCAGTCAGCCGTGCTTAACTTTCGCCTCCGATTGCAAGTTACGTTCAGCTTGACTGCGTGCGCGTCTATGCAGCTCTTTTGTTTTTATTGTTTTAGTTTGTTGCTTATTTTAAACCCCAGAGCCGCCTAGGAGCTGCTGAGTCTCAGTGTTTTTCTGTGGCTGTGCAGCTTGGGCTTTTACTTGGCGGTGGCTCTGGGTGCTTCCTTCGTGCACGACTGCTTCTACCAGCGCCGCCCCGTTTGCTGGTGCCTCGAGAAGGAGCCCCCGAGGCCTCCGCATTATCCTTTTTGGTTTAAATCTATTTTCCACTCCCACGACATTCCGTCCGTCCGTCGCGGCTACGAAGTCTACAGGAAGGTAGATGCTGCAGCGTCAGCGCGCTTCCCCCCAGCAGCAGCAGTGCTTGCCATGAGAGCCTATTTCGGCTGGACCTGCTGCAGCTTCTACAGCAGCAGCAGCTGCTGCTGCTGCTGCCCCCGTCTCGGGCGGGGCTGGAGGCCAAGGCGGTGCGGGGCTGCTGCGGCTTGCTGCGTCTTGCTGCTGCTGCGCAGGTCTGCTCCACCTGCCACTCCATGGAGCAGCTGCACTTCCGCCACCTGGTGGGGGAGGTGCTGCCGGAGCTGCGGGTGAAGCAAATTGCTGCAGAGTACGACGTCGAGGACGGCCCCAACGACAGCGGCGAAATGTACACGAGGCCGGGCGTGGCTGGCGACGCCTTTCCCAAGCCGTATCCCAACGAGGAGGGTAAGCAGCAGCAGCTGCGCGCTGCAGCAGCAGCTGCGCGCTGCAGCAGCAGCTGCCGGCGTTGCAGCAGCAGCTGCCGGCGTTGCAGCAGCAGCTGCCGGCCACCTGCAGGCGCAGCCTATCGCTTCTTTTTCCTTTTCCTGAAGCTCTCTGCATGCGTTTCGCCTAGCTTTTTGAGTATTGCATCTCCTTTGGCTTCTCTTTTCCTTTTTCTGGAGATTTTTGCATGCATTTTGCCCAGTTTTTTGGAGTGTTGCGGCGCTTTTGGCTTCTTCGTTTTCCCTTTTCTGAAGTTTTATGCATGCATTTCGCCTAGTTTTTTGACTATTGCAGCACTTTCCCCGGGAAAGCTGTGCTGATGGCCCCTGCTGGAGCCCGTTTGCTGTGCGGCCTGCAGCTGCGCGTTTCGCCAACAACGGCGCCTACCCCCCAGACCTCTCGCTGATCACCGGCGCCCGCATGCACGGGCCCGACTACATCATGGCTTTGCTGAACGGCTACCACGAGCCGCCCATGGGCGTCGAGCTGCGTCCTGGGCTGTACTGGAACGTGTGGTTTCCGGGAAACGCCATTGCCATGGCTCCGCCGCTGCAGGACGAAATGATTGAATACGAAGACGGCACTCCCTGCAACGTTTCCCAGATGGTGAGAATCTTTAAAAAGTATTTGCAGCGAAGCAGACGCAGCAGCTGCTGCGGTCCAGCTGCTTAGAGGCTGGCTGCAGTGTGCGCTGTGGCGTTTCCACGGGGCTGAGGGGCCGCGGGCGGCGAAGTGAATGAAGGGGGCCGCAGCCTTACTTGTAAATGCGGTGCCGTGCATGCATTTTGTTTTTGTTTTATTTCATTTTTATTTGCTTTTTAGAGAAAGTCTCACTAGCTGCTGCCGCCTGCTGCGTGTGCGCTGGCCCGCAGTCGAAAGACGTGGTGAACTTCCTCACCTGGGCCACTGAGCCCACCTGCGACGAACGCAAGCTGTTTGGTTTGAAGGCCGTGAGCGCGGCGCTGCTGGGCTGCGCGCTGATGACTGTTTGGTGGCGTTTCTTTTGGGTCATTTACGCCACTCGCCGCATTGACTTCGGCAAGCTCAAGTACCTGTGACCACTGGTCCAGTGCGTGCGGCTGCAGGGTGCATGTATGCATTGACTTGTATACTTAAAACTGCATTTGCATCTTTATTTTGTACTTGTATTGTTCGGGTGCTTCTATGCACATGCGCTTCTGTCAATATGACCATGCAAATGCAAGAGGAGCTGGGAAAGCGAGACCGCAACTGCTGTTGGTTCCTACTCGGTGGAGACTCGCTGTTCAGCTCTAACTGCAGCGACCTAGACCTCCCGCAGCAGCTGCATCAGTATCAACTGCAGCTGCTGCTGCACGCGTCGGGCCATTCGGCAGCAGCGCCAGCAGCACCTGCCTGCAGGCAGAGCCAGCGGCGTGCCGGTGCCCTTGGCGACGGTGCGTACACCCGAAACAGACCGAAAGGCGGCGGGGAAACCTGCCCCATAATTTTAATTTATATATGGAGGCATAAAGTGCATAAAATGTTATCCGCAGCTCCGCAACCCGTGCGTTTGCTGGCCATCCCCAACACTAGGTGCTGGGGCTCCCTGCCCGCAGCCGGGCACCTCTTGAAGCCTTTAGTGGTGGCAAGCCTGTGCAGTAGATGTGCCTAGCAAGCGTACTCTAGTTAGGGATCCACCCGGGTCTTTTGCAGGGAGATTTAGCCGACCTCGGAGACGAGGGGGAGTGGAACTAGCGGGGGAGTTCACATTGAAATAGGCTTTTATGGCAATGCAGAGTAGCGGAGAGGCTAGTGCTAGGGCTCAAAAGAACTGCGGTGAGCGTAAATTGCTCCAGCGGCGTTGGGTGGAGGTCACACATGAGGCGTGCACATGCACGTTGCAGTTACTACAGATCTGAGCTTTACGATGAGTTCTGGGGATATTTTCTATGTTTTAATTTGTTTTTATTGAAAGGGATTGTGTTAAGATATTTATTTGGGGCGCATTGAATTTTAACACCAGCAGAAGGGCCACTGGGCAGAGCAGACCTGCGCGGGGTGGTCTCGGGCTGTAGGCGGCCTTCTTCGTCCAGTATAATTGATCAGGTCGCTTACCTATTTTTTCTGTTGTTCTTTAAAATCAATGATATGCCGTAAATTTGCATTTTTTCCCTACGAATGAGCGCTTGGTGGCGCTTCCGGCAGGCCCCTCCACTGCATTCTGCCGGCGGTGACCTCCGGTCGCACGGCGCATTCGACTTCACATTAGCTGAAACAGGACCAAATTGAATTGAAAAATGTCGAAGTTAATTTGACAAAATAATAACAGAGGGAGTTCTGAGTGTTGTCACACTTCTTCGCCGACCCCACGGCGGCGGGCCACCACCACCAAGGCCTATGGAGTGACTTGACGAGCTGTGCAGCTTCCTCTGGCTTTCTCAGCCACCCAAACCCAACAATACGATGACTCCAGAGCATTCAGACTTCGGCTCCTCCTTAGGGGGCCCTTCAGAAGCCCTTAAGAGAAATCCGGGTGGGGCCCCTGAGGATCCGCCTGCGAGTCCGCGCCTCACTGCTGCAGCCCAGGCTGCCAGCTCCCAAGCATCTCATGCTGCCTCATCCCAAAGGCCCGCACAGTGCCACATTGGTCTTCCGAAGCCTTGCCCAACTTCAGCTCTGCCGCAAAGAGCGCGCAGGAGGCCCACATGGGCTCCGCTGCAACGCATCGCTAGGGCTGCCTCACCCCTTGGCCGTCCCCCGCAGGGCCTCCACTGCGTGCAGATATCCCCTTTGCCCAAGAGAAAAGGCCAAGGGCTGCTTCCCAGCCTCTGTCCTGCTGCAGATGCGGCTCGCTGCAGCAGCGCTCACGAAGCTCCTGTGGGTTCTAGCCCCTCCAACTGCAGCGCCGTCCATGCAGGCAAGGAAAACTCCCAAGACACCGCCAACAGCCTTTCTGTCCGTTCGCCGAGCCTTTCAGATGAAGCAGGAGAAGGCAAAGACAGCCGCAACAGGAGGAGTTCCAGCGCTGCGGCTGTTGAAGGCGCAAGGGAGTCTAATGCCCCCTTACCAGCGCAAACAGAAAAGCCCCCTCTAGCGCCCTCCGGCTCAGCAAGCGCATGGGGCAGCTTCCTGCGGCCGCAGTGGATGTACTGCAGCAGCGCAGAGCTGACGGAGCACTGCATGCAGCTGCAGAGCGCACCCGCGCCCGGCGTCCCGGGGGCCCCAGGGGCCCCCCCAGGCGGCGCTGGCGGCAAAGCCTGCGCCCCTTTGCGAGGCCTGGGGGCCTACTGCGAGTCGCTGTACCGCTGGGGCTGGTGCTGCCTGCCGCCCCGCTACAGCCGGGAGTGGCTGTCGTCGGTGGCCCCTGTGTGCGTCTCTGGGCTCTTCCTGCCATTTGCAATGGTGCCCACAGCCATGACTTGCGCGGTGATATCGGGGCTGCCGGTGGCTGCGGCGCTGAACAGCTGCTGGCTGTTGTGTCTGCTGACGGCGCTGATCGGGGGGGCCCCCGGCACAGTGTGCACCATAACGGAGGCCCTGGCCACGGTGCTGGTGTCGACGGTGACTGAAGACTGCAGCGGAGGGCCCTGCATTCAGAGGGGCCGCGAGTTTCTCTTCCCCGCGGGAATTCTCTGCGGGGTGGTGCAGAGTGCCTGCGGGCTGCTGGGGCTGGGAAAGCTGGTGGCTCTGGTGCCTGCGGCCTCGCGCGTGGGCTACGTGGCGGCGGTGGCGGTGATCAACTTGCGGTCGCAGCTGCATGCATTCAAGTACGACCCTGTCTCGTCTACGGGCTACGAGTGGCTGGCGGTGCTGCTGATGGTCCTGCAGGTGTGTCTGGTGATGCATTTGTGGCCTCTCTGCGTCCCCACCTCCCTCAGCAGGCACATGCCCGCCTCCGCTGTGGCTCTGGGCCTCAGTGTCTTCTCAGAGTTCATCTGCGTGCGGCGGCTTTGCCGCATGCGCACCCGTACTGTGGGAGACGTCAGCGCCTTGGCGGGCGGCGGCAACATGCCTTCTTGGTTTTTTCTGTCGCCGTCTTTCGTGCAGCCCAGCCAGCAACTGCTGTCCTTCAAGGGTTTGTACACCCTGCTGGAGGTGGCGCTTACCCTTGTGCTGCTCACTTCCATGTCCACCTTGATGACCCTCGAGAGGCTGCAGGAAGACAGCCGCTGGCGCTACAAGGTAGATGCCCAGCTGGTCGCTGTAGGTCTTTCCAACTCCGTCTCTTGCCTCTTTGGGGGCCTCCCGGGCACCACTGGCATGATGACCTCTTTGCTGGCCAGCCGCATGGGCGCGGCGGGGCGGGAGGGGCCCCTGCTTTCGGCTTTGTTTCTGTGTGTCTTCACTTCTGTTGCTCATCACGTGCTCGACGCTATCCCCCTAGGGGCCCTCAGCGGGGCCATCATCTACACAGCTCTCAGCGCCGTCAGCTGGCGTTCCTTCGTGCCTGTCGTCGCTGCCTGTTTGCCTCGCCGCCTCACCCGAAGGATCAGCTGCATGCGGCTGCGATCCAGCAAAACTGACGCGGCGGTGATGCTCGTGACTTGCGTTTTGGGGCCCTCCTACGACTTGGGAGCGGCGCTGCTCATAGGCATTTTCATCTCGCTGGCCTCCTTCGCCTGGCAAGCTCACCAGTCTTTCAACCTTGACTGCCACCTGGATGAGGAAACGGAAACCAAGTTCTACTTCATTCAGGGGCCTCTGTTCTTCCCTACCCTCAAGCGCCTGCAGAGCCTCATTGACGCCAGCGTCGCACCGAAGCGTTCCGTCGTGCTGCTGCATACAGCAGCAGCAGCAGCGCCGAGCCCCAGCGCCCCCGTGCTCCTCGCTCTGGGCAAGGTGCTAGACAAGCACCAAAAAGAAGGCAAACAGATCGCCCTCTACGGCGTCGACTTCAAAGGCGCAGCCATTGCCCTGCATGCGGGCAGAGCCCTTGAGGCGCACAAAATCGCCGTTCGGAGAGCCATGGGGCTGGCACAGGCTTAGTCGCCTTTGCTGATCCCGGGTGCTCCCCATCTTGCCCATCAAGCGCGGCTACAGCTGTCTTGAGCCAGCTACCCACTCCATACGTCTTGGCTGCAGCCAACGGGAGGAAGCAGCTGCCACACAGCTGCCCCGTCGGGCTCCTTCTTTTCTGCACTTGCCTGCTTCGTTCGTGTTGTCTCAAGGTACCTACAGTCTGCCCTGTAGGCAACCTGCCAATGCGTCATTCCTATCTAATGCTAGCTCTGGCATCACGTGCTTCTAGCCCTGCGCAAGCTGCTACCGCTATTCAGTATCCAGCAAAATGCGCATCTGCGGGTTTCCAGGGTTGCCTCTGTTGCTGAATTAGATAGGCTTGAAGCGAGGGGCTTTTCTGACTGTGGCTTTCCCTCGCCCTCTCCCTATGGTCTGCCTGTAGCTCCACAATGGCGCATGCATTCCAGCAAACTCTCCGCACTTTGGCACTTTGGTCTGGTTCTAGGTTGCAGTCCTGTGACGGGAATCTCGCTGCTGGTGAGCTAGCCAGGCAGCTAGCTAGCTTGCGAGCCAGATGAATAGCTACAGCAGCAAAGCCAAAATCGGCTGTGTGAACCCAGCCTTGCCTAGTCGGCAGCTCACTGCAGATCCGAAGAACTGTCTGGGGCGCTGGCCATATACTCTCAAGCAGTTAGCTACCTGCCTAGCTAAGTACGTTTTGGCCCGCCGCAACCGGCGCGTTCTATGCAACATTCCGCATACGCTGCATGCACGAAAGCAGCCATCTCAAAGATGCGCGGCCAGGCAGCACACACCTTGCTGCTACTGCTGCTGCCCCGCTGCCGGCGCATTGCCTTCTGCAATGCCCAACCCTCCTTTCACTGGTGGTGGTGCTGCTGCTGCTGCCGATGCTACAGTCATCTCCTTAATTTGTTGCAGCTAGCCCGCAGAGACTGCGCAGCCCCGCTAGCCTCGTCAGTGAGACTGGCGGAGCCTTTGAGTGCCCATGCAGCAAATGAAGATGCATAGCGCAAGCTGAAGTTGCGGAGCTCTTCCGTTTCAGTGAGTGCAGATAACTTGTTCCCTCCCGTGGTAGACTTGTGGGCTGGTGGCTAACTAGCCACGCCGTGCCTAGCTAGCTAGCAAAGAGACTCGCCGGCGAGCTCGCTGCGTAGCTAGTTGCCAGGACTTTTGGTAGTCGCAGCCATCTGCCGCTTCGCCTCTGTGAACGCCTCTATGGCCTTCTTGAGCTCCGGCTGCGGCACCAGCTGCTCGCGGGTCAGAGGGGCCCTGAATGCAGCAAAAAGAGGCATTCGGCAAAGAAGTGTCTAGCTTCAACGCAGCCTCCCATCTGGCTTCCTGACAGGCAACCTGTGGCTCGCCAGTCTGCTCTGCGCTATCACGCAAAAAGGCATGCAGGGCCTGACACGCGCAGGCCCCAGAAACAACAAGCCACAGAAGTAAATGCATCCACAGACGCCTACAGACGCACGGCTGCATCCCCTGCATGCACGCAGCCTGCATGCGTAGGCGCACGTAGTCGCGCGTTTAGCTCCGAGAGCACACGCATGTATGCACGCATGCATGCAAGAAGCATGCATGCGCTGGTGTCCTCCGCAGGGACCGTAGCTCCACACACCTGTTGAAAGGATCGGAGGGCTCCGACATGAGGTGCCTCTCGATGTTGCGCCTGTCAACGATGACTTTGCTTGAGGGCAGCAGCACAGGGTCTGTCATCAAGTCTGCCATAATGGGGTCTAGGAATTCGGGCTGCACGCAGACGCACAGAGGACCAGTATTTCCTGCTGCTGCGCCTGTTGCAGCAGCAGCAGCAGCAGCAACAGCAAAAGAAAGCAACAAGGTCCGGAGATACAAAGGTATCTCGAGAGCTGCCGCCGTGTCATTCGCAATCGCTGTTGTTGTTGCCAGCAACAGCGCTGCCGCGGGAGCAGCAGTTGCAGCTGCAGCAGCAGTAACGGCGATAGCAGCAACGGCAATTCCAGCAGCAGGTACCGGCACGTCGTCGAGGTCTATATCCTTTCCTGCCTGCTCCATGTCGGCCAGCCGCTTCACCAAAGAATGAAACTCCTCCAGAAGGACAGAAGACATCAGACCCTCGCGGCGCGCAATGCGGCACTGCAGCAGAGGCAACAGTTGCAAAAGGGGCAGCAACAGATACAGCAGAGGCAGAAGCAGCAGATGCAGCAGTGGCAGCAACAAGGGATGCTGCAGCATCGCTTCAGCCCAGGTTACCAGATCGGCAGACGGGAGAACGGCACACCCGCCAGCAACAGAGAAACGGTGCAAGGACATCTGCCAGCTTCTGGGTTACTTTCGGAACGCTGCTGTTGCTGCTGACATCTTTTCTGCTGCTGCTCCTGCTGCTGCTTCTGCTGATGCTTACTGCTTTGGAAATATTCGCCTGTTTGTAGTATCGCCCATCCCTCAAGATCTCGGCAATTATGACTTCCCCATTCGTCTTGTCAGCCTGAACTGCAGCAGCGCAGCAGCAACAATTGCAGCAGCGACGCTCATATAAGCAGAAGCAGCAGCAACAACAAAGCAGCAGCAGGGAGGCCTTTAATCCTAGCGCTGCAGTGGGCGCAAGCAGCCACTGCCTCATCTGTATTCTGAGCCCCAGCCCCTGCGCCCAAATCCTAGAGCAGAAACCCCATTTCTTAGCTCCAAAACCCAAACCCCAATTCACAGCTCTCGACCCTAAGCCCTCAGCCGCCTGCGCACGTAGGTATACATAAGCCTCCAAAACAGTAGACAGCCAATCCTTGGGTCTGAAGCTGTAGGTCTCCATGGAGTTGACCTGAGAGCCACACGCCGCCGGTGGCACTGGGGTGTAGGATCTTTTGGCGTAGGCTTTGCGGATCTATATCGCCAGTCAAATGACTAGGTAGCTGGCTAGCTAGCCACGGGATGGGGAGCAGCGCACCTTAAGCTGGAGGCATCTGGGCCCGACCAAGTGGTCTAGGCAGCAGTCCAGGGTGGTGACAGCCTGAGGCAAGACGCTGCTGCTGCTGCTGATGACAGCCCCGCAGTGTCTCGACAGCAACGTGAACAGGCCGCACGCGCTCTGGCCAAGAGAGCACAAGTCCCGCGCAGTGGTCTGCAGCCGCGCCCAGGGCTCTCTCTCCAGCGGCGACTGCCCCTCTAGAGATCCTGCCACTGCAGCCACAGGAAAGGGCGGAACCGGAGGCACAGCAAAAGCAGGCAGAGATGATAGGAGATGCCGAGCCAAAATTGCAAGCGCTTTCGCACGCTTCCCTGTTGGTGCTGCTGCTTCAATACGACGCAACCCTGAAGCACTATCAAGTGCAGGCACTGAAAGCTAGTAAAGGGGGAAATTGAAAGGGGAAGGGCCAAACAGACACGATAGGCTGCAGCAGCTAGCAGGCGGCTCGCTGCTGCTGCGGGTCCCCAAACGGCCGCTGTTATCTCTGCAGCTCCGCAGGCATCCATCTACCTTTCTGGCAGGAAACTGTCACTTTGTGCTGCTGTTGCTGTGAGGCTTGCTTGGCCTGCGTCATTTGCTGCATCACTGGCCTATACCTTAGCTCTGCCCTGCTCGCCGGCCCTACCTTCGTCACCGTCGGACTCTTCCTCTTCCCCGCCAGCAGCAGGGGCCCCCTGCGTCGCCCCAGCAGCTGCAGCAGCAGCGCCCGCAGCGCCAGCGCGGGCTCCAGTCTGGCCGGGCAGTGGGGCCTGGTCGTTATCTCGGCCTGCGCATGCACCACTGGGGTGTACGTACACCTCAGGACGGCGCAGGTATGACCGCGCACACGCAGCTGCTCAGCACTTGCCAAGTGAAGAAGGGGGTACAGAACCCCAAGGATGTCAGTCGGGAGGAGGCTGTTAACGAAAAGGCGAAAGGCTCGTGGCCCCTTTAAGCGCATTTTGCCCGAACAGGAGAGAAGCACAGCAGCAAAAGATATATGTCGGACAGGAAAAGAACAAAAAAGAAAGAAAAACAAGCAAGTATAAAACAGGGCACACACCTTCCAGCTGCCTGCGTCGTATCTCCACAAGAGCCTCCATCGCCTGGTCCACTAGGGCTGCGACGTCATTCAGCAGCAAGTGAATCAAGTGCAAGAACTTCTGAAGGCAGCAGCAACAGCAGCAGCAGCAGCCACAGCACTCACGTCCGACAGCTGCAGCCTCTGCGTCATGCACAGCAATTGCATGCACGGACGCTAACCCTGCTGAGGCTGCTCTTGCCACTGCTACGGCTGCTGCTGTTGCTGCTGCTGCTGCTGCTACGCGTCACTCGGAGGCATGTACGCGCTACAGACACAAAAGAAAAATATGGGGAGTAAGCGGCAGCTGGAGAAACAGAAAGCAGAGGAAGCGGAGAAAAGGCAAATATAGGCAGGGAGGCTGTGCATGCGAAGACAGCAGGGAGGCGTGAAAGATAAGAGCCAAGGCAACAGAGACAAAAGAAGACGAACTGAACACTGAACGGCCTACGCACGAAGCGAGGCGCAAGAAACGCCACAGCAGCAGTAGCAGCAGCAGCAGCAGAAAAGACACAAGACATCTGCGCACTTCGGGGTGAGCCTCAGCGAGGCCCTTCATGTTCGTCTTGTAGTCTTCGTTAGCTAGCAGGCGGCGCAGCATGTCCACAATAGGAATTCTGAAGTTAATTCTGTCGTAGTAAGAGCCTAAAGTGGCAGCAGCGCAGCAGGCAGAAAGAGGCCAGTCTGGTGTCTGTGCGGAGAGCTATCAAAGGGCCCCTTTAGGGGCCCCAAGGGCCCCATGAGGCCCCCAGAGAGCGGGCAAAGGATGCACAAGGGGCATCGAAGGGGCTCTGGCCTCCAGGATAAAGAGACAGAGCCGGCAGGAAACAGACGAAGAGAGCTCATCAGAGAGCGTCAGAGCTTTTAGACTTTGTGCTGGCAGACTGCATCAAATCCGCGGCGCCGTGAGCAGCAGCGCTGGTGGAGCCACAGCGGACCTCTTTCTGAGTCTATGAAGACCTCAAACAACGCAGGCAGCAGAAAGCGCTTCGCCACCGAAAGCGACTCCAGCCGAGAGCGAAAGTCCTCTAGCAGAAACAGTCGGTGCAAGGTGCGGCAGGCCCTGCGGCCGCACACCCCAGCAGTAGCAGCAACAGCAGTAGCAGCAGCAGCAGGAGCAAAAGCAGCTGGTGAGGAAGAAGCAAGGGGGGCGGACACCCCTGAACGCGAGCAGGGAGAGCAGCAGGCCGGAGGCAGCAGCGCGCAGCTGCAGGGGAAGGAACAGAAAAGCAACGGAAGCGGAGGGCCCCCAGGGGTCCCCTGGAGAAGCAGCAGCTGCCGCACCCGTCGCAGCGTGTATGCACACTGCGGAAGAATCCAGGAGAGCCCATGACAGCAATGCAGGTGGCAGCAACGAGCTCGGCGTCCATGCTGCTGCAGGGCGAGACTTCGCCGCCCTGTGCTCCCCGCAGGCTGGAGTAGACGGCCTGCAGCTCCGCCATGTGCCGCATTGAGAGAAAGAGGTCTTCTATGATGCCGCTGGGGAGCACTGCAGAGCCACAGGAAGCCAACAGCGCAGCGCACACAGCCAACACACACGCCCGTCGGCCTCGGCCCCCGCTGCTGCAGCTCACGCGCTGGCTTTCTGCAGCCGCCGCAGCATTCGTCCTTTCCCAGCTGTTGTGTGCCCCCTGGGGCTGGAAAAGGCCCCAGCAAACTACTGGGCTGGTCGAGCCGCGATATATGCGCAAACTTGTGTGTCCGCGTCACGTTATAAATGCATATATGGACGAACGCTGCATGTGCATATGTGCACTCTCGTATACTCATCGCACACAAGTATACGCATGCGTACATGTGACTATCTGTCCATACATATGCATATAAGTAATACGCATTTTATTACCCGCGCATGCACATGTAGATGCATATATGTCTTATCCGTGCATGCACACACATATATATATATAAGTGCACATGTGCATTTAACCTGTGAATGCACACATACATTACTGAATTTGATCAATACGTCAACATAGTCCATGCATGCATATATACGTAAAAGTACGTCAGCGCGGCCTGTGCATGCCCGCACACCGCTCTGGCGTGCATGCATATATACATATACGCATATTATTCATACTAGATAGATAGAACAGCCTGGACCTTCTCACGCAGGCTTGCCAACAGATATGTGCACGTATGCACGACTTTGTATGAGCGTATCTGCTGTGGGCGACTAGCTGTATCTGCAGCTATGCCTTTAGTGCCTACGTGCCTCTGTCCCCCTCTGTCTCAGCTGACTGCAGTGACGGCTTACGTGCAAATTGAGGGGGAGGCTGCGAGGGGTTTTCTGCGCCGCCGGGGGGGAGCTGCGGGAACAGCCGCATCTGCAGACGGCGGTGGCTGCAGTGCAGCAGCAGGGACAGCCAGAAGGCAAGCAGCAGCAAAAAGGGAAAGACGAGAAAACGAGAGGCAAGCGGAGACGGAGAAAGAGTTAAGGGAGGAGAGAAAAATAAAGGCCCCAGGAAAAAAGAAGAGAAAAATAGAGGTTTCAAGAAAGAAAGGGCAACAGAAGCGCGGAGGCAGACAGGGAAAGCAAAGGGGTTCCAAGGAATAAGTGCGGCAATGGGCAAAGAAGCAGCAAAGACCCAATAACGCCAATAATACCTGAGTCAGCAGCGCCGCATAGCGCCACTTCTGGCTCGTCAACAGAGCAACAGCTTTGGGGTCCTCTTTGCCGTCTGGGGCGTAGGTGTACATACACCCCAGCAGCCACGAACAGAAAAGGTGTGCGAAGTGCCAGTACAAGCTGCACAGGCGAGGGTGCAGCAGGATCTGCAGCAGCAGCAGCAGCAGAAGCCGGCAAAAAAGATGCAGAACGCAGCAGCAGCCAGCGGCGGGACGGCCGCCGCCGGCCGCAGGGCCAGCAAACGCATTCATCCAGGAGACAAAAGGAAAAACAAAGACAGAGGGAGGCAGAAAAAAGTGGCCACCAAAGACACAAGCTGCAAACACAGCAACGGAAGACAAAGCCCAGTGCCCACCACACGCCAGCCAAGGACTTCTGCTATAATGTGTTTCGCCTCCGTTGAATTCTGCTGCATGCCCTCGTCGTGCCGCCGCTGAAAGTGGTCCATCCAACGCATGCACTCGTTCGCGCAGGGACTGCGGCCGCAAACACATGTGCAGACCGTTGAACTGCTGCTGCTGCTGCTGTTGCTGCTGGCACTCCTGCTCATGCTGGCACTGTTGCTGCTGTGACACGAGGTCGGAGCAGCTACAGAGAGCTACCACAAATGCAGAGCTAAACAGGACAGCAACAGCAAATTGAGAGTCAGGGGAAGCAGCAGCGCCACGCGGCACAAGCAATAGCAGCAAACAAGGTTGCAGCAGTAGCGGCGACGGCATCAGCGATTGTAGGCACGACGGCAGCAGCAAAACCAACAGCAGCAAGCCCGGCAGCACCAGAAGAATTAGAAGCACCAGGAGGCAGCCCAGCTTACTTAAAGCAAAGCCTAACAGCCCTGATTGTGAGCCAGAAGACCTCGGCGGTGAACTTCGAATTAGCATCGTCAGCAGCAATTGTCTGGTAGAAAGCCTTAGCTGCCGCTACTGCCTCGCCCTCCCCCAGAAGCGCCTCGCGGCGCAGCGGCCCCGCCACCGCCAGCCGTAGGGCGTCGCTGGAGGGGCCGCAGGTGACGTAGAAGGGCGACAGCTCGCAGCTGCAGGCAGCAGCAGCGCGCGGCGCGCAGCCGCAGCAATCCAGGCACGCTGAGGCCGGGCAGAAGGCGCAAAGAAGCAGCAACAGCAGCAGCAACAGCGGCAGCAGCAACAACAACAACAGCGGCAGCAGCAACAGCAGCAACAGCAGCGGCAGCAACTGCAGCTGCTGCGACACCAAGTGGAGCTTTCTTGGTTGCGCTTGGGCGGCTCAAGAGGCTTTTGAGGCTTCCGTAGCAGACATACATCTTCTCGTATTTTATTGGGTCGACGAGCAGCAGCAGCGCGTGGAAGACATTTATGCAGAATCCAAACGTATTTTGGCCTTGCGCCTCTGTAAGGGCAGCGACAGCAACGATAGCAGCAACAGCAGCAGCAGCAGACCATGAAGCACACGAGTGTCGCCGAGGGCCATGCAGCTCACACAAACAAAGCAACACCCACACAGCCGGCGGAGCTTCAGGGGGAAAAGGCAGCAGCAGCACAAGGAGCTTAGAACAGCAGCCTTCGCAGCAGCACTGGGCGTGCAGCGGCAGCAGCACAAGAGCGCAAGACAGCAGCAGCAGCCGCTGCATACTTATGAGGAAAGAATGGAGGGGGTCTGCTGACTCCGGAGTCTGCTGTTGCAGCAGCATGTGAGCGTGAGCTGCCTTGGCCCGGCCCTCATTGGAAGTCAAGACAGCAGCAAACCACAGCAGCACACGCTGCCTCTCTGCCTTCCCTGCGCGGCAGAGATTCTTCAGAATCTGCGGCAGCAGCAGCAGCAACAAAGCGAATGAAGCGACAGCGTAAGGAGCCAGAAACAGACACGCAAGCAGCAGCACCCCACTAAGCTACTGCAGCAGCCTCTAACGGGGACCCTTGCAACAGCAAAGCAGCACACAAAGCGCAGCACCCGAGTCGCTTGTTTGCATATGGTGCAGCAAAAACTAAAGAAGCAGCACAGCAATGACGGCAAGGCACAGCAAGGCTTGCTAGTCTACGCAGGGGCGGCAACTGCCGCGTTAATGCCAGCCGCGGTGCCAGAACTGGCCCCCCTAGCAGCAGCAGCAGCAGCTTCAGAGTATATCACAACACAGAAGACGGCAGCAGCAGCAGCAGCAGCCGCCACCTGGTTGTCAATGTCCATGAGATTCTGTATGTCGTGTCTCATGCCCTGAATTGTGTTCTGCAGGTACGTCGGTGCCAAGGCGGCGCTGCCCGCAAACGCACGTTGCACGCTGCTCTGCTGGCCTTTCTGAGCACAAACCCTAAACCCCAAACCCTAAACCCTAAGCCCTGCAGCCTGAGCCGTCACTTCTGGGACCGTCGGCTGAATTCTCCACGCGCGCATGCTCTGAAACTCAGCTCGAAGTCCCTATGGCGTCACTCACTTCACGTCCAGAGTCCTCCACCCATCGTCAATCGTAAACCCTAAACCCTAAACCCTAAACCCTAAAGCCCTCACTGTGCAGCCCCCAAACCCCACGGGCAAGTCTTACGGGCAGGACTGGCCCGTCTAGAGGGGTGAAGGAGAGCAGCCTGCCCAGCAGCGAATTCTCCTGCAAGAAGAAGCCGGGCTGAGAGGCCGGCAGTGGGGGCAAAAAGGGCGGAGAGAAGCAAGGCCGGTTGGCAATGACTGCAGCTGCAGCAGCAAGACAACGCGAAGCAAAAGAGAGAGGTAAGTGCAACGGCAGCAGCAGCACAGCCACGCAGCAGCAACGGCGGCAGCAGCAACAGTGACAGCGGTAGCAGCAGCAGCAACTTGGCCAGATGTTGCGGTGACCTAAAGCAGTAGCAGCACCCTCAGCAAGGAAAATCGGCAGCAGCAGCAGCAGTAGCAGTATTGCTGTACCGATTGGTTTAAATGAGGAAAGAAAGCGGATGGCTCCGACAGCGGGCGCTTTGTAGTCTCCTACCTAAGAAGCAAACAGCAGCAGCAGGCAATAGCCCCATCCCATCACCGCACTTCTGGCTGCAGTTGCTGCAGCCGCACGGTTCGTGCTGTTGCTGGAGCAGCCACAGCAGCAGCAGCGACAGCAACAGCAGCTGCAGCATTCCCTGCTCTGCCTCAGGTGCCTCTTTCCCTTGTCCGGACTGCAGCTCTGCCTTCTCCTGCCACAAGCATTAACAGCCGCGCGGCTTCCGCTGTTGCTACTGCAGCAGCAGCAGCAGCAGCAGCAGGTATTTCTGTCTCCCTCACCGCCCGGCCGGTGAGCGCAGCAAAAAAGCCGTCCACGGCGGGGCCAAAAGCAGCAGCAAGAGCCTCTTCTGCTGTTGGCGTGTCCTGCAGCCCTGCAATGAGTTTGTTCATGAACACTGTGGAGGCGCCGCCCTCTAAGAACTCCCTGAACTGTACAGACACCTGAACGCAGCAGCAGCAACAGCAGCAGCAGCAGCAGCTTGTCCAGCGAGGCTAAAAACTACGGCTACACAAGGGAAGCTGACAGTGCCGTCCGGAATAAGCTTGCAGCCGCGACAGCAGCAGCAGCAACAGCAGCAGTGGCAACAGCAGCAGCTGCAACAGCAGGGCATCTTCTCACTGCAGCCACTGGCGGTGGCTCTTCCAGTTCGAAAAGCTCCAAGCACGTAAGCAGCAAAACGGCGTTGCTGACAAGCTGCTCCTGAACTGCTGCTGTTGCTGCGACCCGCCTGTCGGCTGGCAAATACCTGCAGCAGCAGCAACAACAGCAGCAGCAGCAGCAACAGGATATGGCTGGGCAAAGACGGAGCAGCAGCAAACCCAAGAGCATCGACGCCGCCAGCAGAGAGTCCACCAGCAGCCAAGGTCGCGCTCATCTACCATTGGGAGCAGCAGCAAAGACAGCAGCAGCAGCAGCAGCAGCAGCAAGAACAGCAGCAGCAGCAGCAGCAGACGTACTTGGTGTAAGTATCGTCTGAAAGCCTGTGGAAAGCCTCTGCATTTGCTCTGAAGACATTTTGACTTTTGCTGCGCCACAGAAGCTGCGTCTGTTCTATGAGGATCTCCTGGACCACGTCGACGCGCAGCCTGCGCCGCCGCAAACCCACACCCTAAACCCTAAACCCTAAACCCTAAACCCTAAACCCTAAACCCCAAACCCAAGTTCCCGGCTCAGCGCGAAGAGCGGGTGCTCGACCTGCAGGCAGCCGTCGGAGCTTTTTGAAAGGGTGCGGCAGCAAAAGCTGCGCTGCTGCTGCTGCTGCAGAGAGTAACTGCGCTGCACATGCTGCTGCTGCTGCTGCTGCTGCTGCCGCCGCGTCCGCGCACCTCGGGGCCAGGCCCTCCCTAACGCACTCCTCCGCCAGCTTGGGGAGGTACAGACAGTTGGGGAAGACGCCGCCGTCGGCGCGCACCCGCAGCGACGCCTGCAGAAAGCGGTCTTCCTTGATCTCGCGCTGCTCCTCTGGACTCATAGCTGGCCGGGTCCCGGCGGCTGCTGCTGCTGCTGGTGCTGCTGTTGCGGCTGCTGCTGCCGCAGGCGCTTTGGGAGCTTCTTCTGCACGGGAAGGAACCGTTGCTGCTGCTGTAGGCTCCCCAGGGGGAGCTGCAGACGCACCAGAACCGGCATCGGGGGGGGACACAGCCCCCGTGGCTTGGGGCGATTCCATGCCCGCCAGGCGCCCCTATCTGGAGGCTGAGGGCCTTAAAGACTATGTGCGCTTTGGAGAAGCCGAAATCTGCTGTTGCTGCCGCTTGGTCTGCTGCACGGCTGCCGCAGCTCCTGCCTGCTCTCGGTAAACCGGGCAGAGAACGAGGCTGCTGGACAGTCTAGCGTGACCACTGGTCCGACCAAGCGCCAGGTTTAAGCGTCCATGAAGTCTCCTAGTTGAGATATAAGGGGAACTAGCCCTCTGGGCTATGTATAGCTCAGCTGGTCTGGCTGCTCCGTGTTTGACCGCCTGCTGCTGCTGCCAAATAACCGGAAGATGTGGAAGCCATTGGCCTCTTTTTGGAGGACGTTTTGGTCCAAGTAACTCAAATGATAAGGGAAAGTGGCACGTAGAACCGTAAGAAATATGCCGCGGATGCTGTCGCCCGCAGCTCCCTAGGCCGCTCTACCGCGACCAGCGCATGCGACTGAAGAGCACAAGCAGTGTTTTTTCTTTGTTTTTCACACATCGTTTTGATTTTTCAGGAGTTTTCGATAATTAGTGCAGTTATTTCGGCGCCAATGTTACAGGTATGTGGGGTTGGGATGCAGGTTCACGGCGGGTGTTGTCGGTAGCCTTACAACACAGTAGAGGAGGTCGGTTGCGTTGCTGCTTCGAGAAATATGAAACTTTCCCCCCGTAAACCAGCTCAGTTCGCTTCAAAGGCATAAAGACATGCACTTGGTGGCGAGAGATGAGGCAGTCCCCGGTTCTAGGCGCCGGGGGACCTCTCTCTGTTACACGGAGCTTGTAGGTCACCACCTAGAGGCAACGTAAACTGCAGCGCCGCACGAGTTGATGCACTACTCTGTGTTATTTCCTTACAAAGTCAATTGCCAGAGGGGCTCTGGCCAGCCTGTGGAGCAGAACCGCCTCCTAAGGCTTGCCAGAGCTGTTGTGGGGCAATTGTTTAGGAACAGCTTTGCGACGCTACAGGCAAAGCAGCACTCCAGAGAACTACGAGAAACCCTTACTTAAGAAGACTTAGCCTTTCGGTGCACTCACTCTGCCTTGGAAGGCGCTTCCCTCCAGCAGGCGCCATGCAGCCGCCTCAAACTCAACTATACCTGCTTTACGGACTATCAAATAATGCTCTAAAATTAAATACGCAAATGACTAAAACGAAAATTTGAGCCTTGCGGAGAAAAAAAAGTTGCGCTTCCGCAGGTTTCACATGCTGGCTGCACTTGGAGGTGGAACGACAATTGAACATAAGGCTTTTGAATACGGCTTTTGAACGAAGACCGAAGTAATAAAGAGTAAACATCGAAAGTCCTGCGCAATTAGCGTGCGAGGTATAGCCTAAGAAAACTGCAAAGGCCAGCACTGCTGCACAGAGAGTCCACCGCTATTTTTTGAGTCGCCTTCTCCCCGGAGCAGTGTCCAAATTTTTCTCATCTCCAATTGGTTTCATTCAACGCCAGGCTTTCTGTAAGCTTTGAGATTGCGCTTGGGGAGTCTTGATCATCATTCATAGGCGTTACGAACTCATTTCAATGCTAAAAACAAAGCGCTAGTCCAGCCCTCTTGTTGCTGGGGCCAGCTACACATGCAGGTATTAAATCTGGTTATTGTGAAAACTGCAAATTGTGGAGGAAATCCCTTGACGGGGCTGCTCGAACGGGAAATTCGGACTTCAAGAGTGAAGTCAAGCTTGCAGACGGGCTCCCCATGGTTCATAGAGTTATGGCCAAGCACGTAGAAAGCGGAATAAGAACAGCATCTGGAAAGATAATAATAATAATAATAATATTAATGGTGATAATAGTGGTGATAGTAATGAAGCATTTCAGTTGTCCTGAACGGAGTCTGTTTGCACTCCAAAATTGCACCTGGGCTACAGCGAACACCAGAAAATGGCCTGTTCTAGCACGCACAGTAGCAGCGCCAGCAGCAGCAGCAGCAGCAGTAGCAGTAGCTCGGAGTTAAGGTCCTTCAAGCCCACAAGACACAGCGTCACGGCGCTCCCCCCCATAGGCTGTAAGAAACGCAGACGGAGAGGGCAAACGCCTCTACAAAAACATGAGGTGGCCCTCAAATTGCAGATAATAATATACGGGAGAAGCCTGATTGGCAGCGATGGCTCTACGGGGCCCCCTAGTTGCGAAGGGCGCTGCGGGGAAACAGCTGGTATCAGATATTTTGTGCTCCCTTTCAAGCTCAGGCGAGTCTGCTGCTTCCTCTGTAGTAGCATTTAACGTGCAACGTAAGCTTTTGCTGCAGCTTTGGCATGAGAGCCGCGCCCCACATTGTAGTAGCTTAGAATATGCAGCTGCTACAGAGGCGGTTACTGACTCTCTTCCTGGGTCAAGCTACGAAGAGAGCACACATCTCACTACAAATGCAGCTTTTATAATTCAAAAATCAATTATTTCACTGCAAGGGAAACCCCAAAAGGTTATGCAAGCTTAGTGTCCCACGCAGCTCTACCCTCGAAGTCCTTCCCAGCCCCAAACAGTAGTACCGTTTCTCCTGATCACTGCGTAGACCCAAATCACAGCAGCAGCCGCTGATGGCCTCAATTTGGCTGCACTCTGCATTAATTTGAATTTCTGACGCGGGTGAAGATCTTCCTTCTTAAACTCCACGCGCGCTGTGGAGCCGGGCGCTGCAGCGGCCGTCAGTCTTCACGTAGGCAGCGGCACTCGAAGATTGTATCGGCATTAACGAGGGAACTCACGGGGTCGTAGCCCTATTTAGTGGGCGGCGTGAGGTTTCTAGGTGCAGCAGCAGCTGCAGCAGCAGCAGATTGGACCTCCGAGCCGGCGCTTCGAGCCATGACGGACGACGAGCAGCAGCAGCAGCAGCAGCTTGCAGCCCTGCAGCTGGGGCTGCAGCAGGTACCTCAGCTCGCTGTTGCTGCTTCCCCTTGCTTCTGCGAGCCTCCTGCGCAGCTGTTGCAGCGGCTGAAGCCGCATCTGCTACTGCAGCAGCTGCGCCTTGTGCTGCTGCTGGCACTGTCCTAGTTCGTGGCACAGAGCCCTGAAAGTTTGTGCCCATGCACGCAGACAGTTCTGCTGCTGCTCACTTTGTCCCTGCAGGCGCTGGAGGCCCAGAGCATGCTGGCTTCCTTAACTTCGCGGTGCTTCACGAAGTGCGTAGACAAGCCCGGTGAGCGTGGCAGCCGAGGTGTATGTACACTTCAGCAGCTCTTTGGCATCACCACAGCCGTGCTGCTGCACATTGCCTTGAGGCCCTCACACACGAATCCTGGGGCCCTCTCGCTCCCGATTTCACACTTCAGATTATTGAATATCATACTATTATTTGTTTAGATATATTACAGTTATTTGGATGGTATTCCTCGTTAATTGACGTGCTAAATGCCGCGCTGCTGCTGCGCCTGCAGGCCGGTCGCTGTCCAGCAGTCAGCAGCAGTGCATCTGGCAGTGCGCCCAGAGGTGGAATGAAGTGCAGCACTTTGTGGGGATGCGCAGCAGAGCTCTTTTGCAGCAGCAGGGAGCTGGGGGCATCTTGGGCGCTGCGGGCAGCGGAGGGAACCTTTCAGGCGACAGCCTGCTGAGTTAAATTTGGCAGCAGCAGCTTCAGCAGCAGCAGCAGCAGCTTAGTGGCTAGCCGCTGCAAGGTGTGCGCGTGCGTGCGGCTTCCTGATCTGCTTCATCTGGGGCTTAGAAGCCTAGAGCCGGCTCTGTGCTCATTCGTAGACAACTTGCGCGCGGTGTACGTACACTGCGAGGTTTTCTTAGAGGAAACTTTGCTGCTGCTCAGAGCCGTCAGCAGGGTCGCTGCTGCTGCTGTTTGCAGCAGCGCAGCTGCACAGCCCCTGGGGTATCCCACAGGCTTGCAGCGCCTCTTGCAGATCCAGAGGACTTAGCCAGAAAGCAGAATCGCCTTTGCTGCGCCAAAAGCCTCAGCCTTTCACAAGAGTTCATCGTCGAGCAGCAGCGGCTCCTCCGCAGGCAGTGGGGCCCCGCTGCAATCGCCCACTTTTTTTTGCCCCTCCGAATAGCAAGGGGGGCGCTGGGCAGGCGCGGCTTGCGGCAAAAGGCTATGGGTTTGCTGCTCACGTACAGCAGCACAGGATGTGGGCCCGGAGGGCCCCTGGGGCCCCGGGGGTCCCTGGGGCCTCGGGGATCCCTGGGGCCCCGGGGGCCCCAGAGGCTGTTGGGGCCCCTGGGGCCGCTGGTCCTCTGAAGGGGGACTGCTGGAGGACTGCGCTGCGCCTGGACGCGTCCGCAGTTCGCATGTTTCGCTGGCTGTTGCCAAGCTGAACTTGTTGCTGCCGCTGCTGTCTTCTAGTTTTGCTGTTTTGCTGCTGCTGCTGCTGTCTGAAGCGACGCTGCAGCAGTCGTCTGAAGAGTCGCTTTCGTCTATCTGCACTTGTAACCGCGTGACGAGTTCCTCCTTATTAGCCGTTGCTGCTGCATCTGCTGCTTCGTCTTCTGCTGCTGCAAATTCTGCTGCCGCCATCTCTGCTGCTGCAGCAGCAGCGGGACAAATGCGCGCGAGAGCCGTTTCGGCTGCAGCGTCCACAAGTAGACAGACTGTCAGCAAGAACGCAGCAGGCCTCGCAGCTAAGTCTTTGAGTTGCTGCTGGGCCTCCTCTGGAGTTCCTGAAGTTGCCGGGCTGAGGGGCACGAGCTCTTCCAGCTGCTGCTGCTGCTGCAGCTGGTGCAGCGCCTTCCGGGCCTCCTCGCAGCTGCTGTAGGTGGACACCAATGCGAAGGCAGCACTAGATCGCAGCCGTAACGGGAAGGCAAGGCTGCAGCCCTTGAGAGGCCTGAGGCAGCAGCGCCGCAGCACAGCTAAAGCCAGGGCTATTTGCCTCACTTTCGTTGTGGGGGAGCCTGCAGCAAACGAGGCCCCACACTTACCCAGTGCTGCTCCTTGAAATGCCCCAAAGGGCCCCACGCAGTGGGGAGACCACAAGTTCGAGGTCACTTATCTTTAGGGCGTAGGTACACTTGAACTCCCATGCCAGGCTGTCTTCTCTGCAGCTGCACCGCCGCCTGGGCGCCTTGCAGCGAGAGCAAAGAGCTGCTGCTGCTGCTGCTGCCTCAACAGCAGCGGCAGTACGCGGCAGCACCAGCTGCAGTACGTACACCCGGCCTTGCAGCGCCTGCAGGGCTGGTGAAACGCACAGAGGGCGCAAGAAGCAGTTTATGCAACGCAGGCAAAGTCCAGCAGCACCTGAGGAGGGCAGCTGCGAGCTGCAGCAGCAGCAGAAAGCGCACAAGCTGCAAACGCACCTTACCTGGGTTGTTGCTGCAAGCATCAGCTTGCTGCTGCGTGCAGCAGTTGCTGCTGCGACCTGCTGCCGCTGGAGAAGTCACGAGAAAAGCTTTCTTGAGGCCGCGTTGTTTGCCTTTCTCAAGTCCAGCAAAGGCAGAGCCGGGAGACTGAAGAGATGCTGCTTGAAAGGCCCCGACGGAAATAAGCCGGTCGATACCGCAGTCGCTGCTGTCGCTGCTGCTGCTGCTGCTCTTGCTGCGAGCCCAGCTAGCTATCCAGGGGGACTCTCGCAAGCCTTGCGCACTTGCTTCCTGGGAGAGCTTTGGCTGCTTTTCTTGGTGACCCTCTGAAAGATGGGCAAAATAAGCCGCTGCGTCTTGAGGAGTTGCGAAGTTTGCGTCCCACACCAAATGCTCTGACAGGCTTTCGCCTTTCGATGGATCCACGGCAGCTGCTACTGCTGGCGCTGTTGCTACAGCGGGTGCTGCTGCTGCACTAGGGTGCAGCAGCTCAATTTGGGCCTCGCGTGTCACCCTGATGTGCTGCATGGGGGGCGGAAGCGAGCCTGAGGGCCAGCAGACAGCACAAGTTGCCGTGAGGAAGCCATGGCAGTGGGGGGCTTCTTAAGAAACTCTTAAGCACCAGTAACGGGAGAGGCTAAGGGCCTAGAGGCGCGGATGTACAAACCCTTGTAGGTGAGTTTGGGGAAAGAAACCCCCTGCTGCAGCTCGAGTTGGTGCTTGCGCGCCACCCCTGCGCACGTGAACTGCGTGAGAATGCCCCGAGCCTCTCGGTCTGCTGCGCAGCGCTGCAGCGTCTCTGTAGCAGAGCAGCAGAGGCAGGCTGCGCTGCAGCAGCGAAGTGAGACGCGCAGCAAACTGTGCTGCAGCAGCAGGGGGTGAGGCAGGCAGTGCTAAAGGCGCAGCAGCACTAACTAATTCTCAAAAGCAGTGCTACGGGGAGAAACGACCAACAAAAGAAGCAGCAGCACAGATGTCACAAAGACCCATACAACACTTAATCCTTTAGAATACCTCAGAAGCAAAACAGCATGCGGCACTTGCCTTCATTGAAGACGACGTCGCAGGAAAGGGAAGCAGCGCCTTGCTTGTCAACTGTCTGTACACCTGAACCCCTCGAAAACAGATGACCAAACACCCCTCCTGCTGCGCTTCTTGACATGAGCCTAAGCCAGTTCATTTTCAAAAAGAATAACTCAGCGCTGCCGGTGCTACTGTGCTGCTGCCTAGCTACAAACTGATGCTGTGAGCACGCGCACAGGGACCTATGCTCATGGGAATTCGGATGCCGCCTTGGGAGCCCTGCCCCTCTTCTGCCAAGAGTTCTTTGTAGTGCCAGGGGTCTACTTGCTCGTGGCTGCAGATGTTCAGAAACAGTTTCGTTCCCCCTTTAACCCGCGTCTTGATTACGAACTGGGGCTTGGGCCGTATCCAGGCCCGAGCTCCCCCTGGCTGCTTGAGGTAATCTAATCCAACGCCAGGCAATCCTGCCGTCAGGCTAGCAGTGGTATTCAGCAGCTCATCTTCCTGGCGGGTCCCAAGAGCACCCAGAGCTCCCCCTCCCCTGTTCCCCAGCATGCCGGGACCCTCAGGGACCCCAGAAGCTCCTGGAGGAACCCCTAGGGGCCCCTCCGACTGGAGAACAAGGTCGCGGGCGCTAAGTGCAGACTCCCACATTGTTGCCTTGAGGTACTTTAGGTCTAAGTACGGCGATTCAGTGACCTAGGGCCTCATATAAACTGCGGCTGACTACTTGTGCGTGTTTCTAGGTCTGTCCCAGCTAGCAGCTACATCTAAGTATAGTTCGAGCTAACGCCGCCGCTGCCCCGCTCGCAGCTGCAGAGCGGAGCTGCTTCAGCAGCACTGATTCTTGCCGCAGCACCACTGAAGGCGGGGCACTCCAGGGGGAAGGAACAGCCAGGCCTACACGTTTCGCGGCAAATTAAGTGGGACTTAAAATGAATGGGCAGATGCCTAAACGGGCAGTGAAGTAGTGCCAAGCGGCTCAAGCACTGCTTGTTAGCCTCCAGCCCGCTCGGACACGGCAATGTCTCGCCCCCGCTGCAGGTGAAAGTGCGAGCTTTTTCGCTATCACCTGCTCCACCGCAAAGAAAAAATCTACTTTCTAGACAAAATTTGAATTCCTGAGAAGGTGATGGCCACTGTGGCCCCCCAGGGGCCCCCACTGCATGCAGTCCCCAGGGAATCGGGAGGCCCTCAAGATCCCGCTGCGCAGGTGGGCCATGTGTTGCATCAAGCAGTTCGCCTGTGCTTCCCCAATCTCCACAGGCGTTCTGCAATTAGATTTCAACTTTGTCGCGGTGGGCTTCGCTTTCAGTCACGGGGAGGCTAGGGCCCCCCAGGGGCTCCTGCTGTGCCCACCTGCTGACGCCCAACACTCAGGGCTAGCCACTAGCTGCTGAATGCCCAGAGCCCCCAGAGCTACACTGTAAAACTTGTGGAAACGCAGCGCAGGCGAGGGGGCGGCTGCGGGGCCCGAGCGGCGCTGGCAGCGCCTGCGGCCAGCCGCAATGGAGGCGGGGGCCTCGCGCACTTCCCAGTAAGGCAGCAGAAGCTCAGGGGCTGTCTGAGGCAGCTCCTGCAGACGCTGCGGCGCAGCTGCAGAGCCTTATGGTGCGCACAGGCCCCAGCGCTGCGGCCGACGGCGGGGCTCGCGAGTTTAAGGCCAACTAGACCCCATGAGGACTCCGTGGGCAGCGGTGGCTGGGGCAGCCGCACGCAGCAGAGCCACTGGAAGCCTGTTCGGGGGAAGCGCTGGAGTTTTAGCAGTTGCTGCAGCAGCAGCAGCAACAGCAGACACAGCAGCAGCTACTGCAGCAGCTGTTGCTGAGGAGCAGAAAAGGCCGCTTCTGCGCAGCAGCTTGAGCTCCCCACTTTTCCTTCGTACAGGCATTGAAGCTGCCTCACAAAAGGGGAGATGGCGGCGCCTTGCTATTTTGTGTCCGCTGCAGCAGCAGCAGCTAGAACAGCAGCGACAGCTGGTCAGAACCAGCACCTGCTTCTCCCATCTTGCATGCAGCTACAGCTGCAGCAGCAGCAGCATCTTGGGCTGGCCCGCACTATGCCGGCTAGCTGCTAGTAAGCCAATAGCGAATAATGCCAATTGGGCTCCTGAGGGTCTGTGGGAAGCTGCTGCTGGCGGTTCAGCCCGAAAACAGCGCCTCCTGCTGCTACAACCCCGGCAACAGCAGCCTGGGGTGCTGCAGGCCCTACAACAGCGCTGCTTTCTGCTGCTGCAACAGCCGCGAGGGACGCAGCAGCAGCTGCAGCAGCAGCGCTTCATAAGCACGAAGCGGCGGCGCTATTTCAAGATGCGGAAGTTTCACAAGAAGAAGTACAAGAAGCGGCTGTTGCGGTCTAAAAAAGTCCCTTTTGTAGAGATAAATAAACCGAAGAGGACTTGGAAAACGCTGCATGAAATGAAACTGATTAGAAAAGAGTTCAGGAGAGGCGTGCCCAAGAAAGGCGCCAGGATGCTCAAGCTTAGGCGACAGCGCTGAGGGCCGCGGGGGCGGACGTGGAGTGGCAGGCCTGCAGATACAAGACGCTATTGGGGCGTTTTTCTTTCTGTTTCAGTTTCGTTTGCTGCCTCTTTTGGTTGTTTTTCAAAAGACTCTTTTCCTCTGAGGTTCTGTTGCCCTAGAGTGGCTGGCTTTCCTCTCAGGTTCCCGTAGCCTGCTGTGCTAGCGCCCTGGCTAGCAGCAGCTAGGCGTTTTGGATCCTCCTGGTGCTTCCCTTAGCAACAGTTGCTTCTGCTGGGCGGCCGAGGCCCCCCAGCCAACGGCCTAGGGGCCCAAAGTGCAGGGCCTTACTGTGCTTGACACTGTCAAGAGCCTCCTTAGGCTCAGGGCGCATGTCTGTGCGCTGGACATGAGCATTTAGGACAGACTATGCGAGTAACCTGCAATGGACATGAGTATGTGCTCAAGTACAGTACCCTGTGTGCACCCCCAGCCAGTCCCTTCTATGCACGGTGCGGAGCCCGTAGATCCGGCCCTTTCCTGTGCGAGAATAGGGGCCTTAATAACGCTGGTGGCCTCCAGAATCTTTTTTGAGCGGGTTTCACCGGCTTCCCTGAGTTAACTTCAGAAGCGCACAGCCTCGTACGCACCGCACGCCAGCCCTCCACCAGCCATCGCCGAGCGGGGCTGGAAACCTTGGGAAGGCCTTTAAATGCTGTAGCCTTAATAAATATTTCTCTAGATTCATCTTTTAGATGCTAGGGTTTCATTCCACAGTAGTTTTCAGCGGCCCCACGTATGCTGCGCGGCGTGCAAACTCCTCTCCAAACGAAGTGGTCACAGCCCAGCGGCGATTTTAGGGGGGCGAGCAGCATGCTAACCTAGTATTTATACTAAAACTTTTGCATAGCATGTACGAACTGAACTTCGAGCTGAAACGGCGGCTGTTTCTACGGCCAGCGACAGGGGGCCCCTAGTTCTGCGGTCTCGAGGCAGCGCGTATGCAGGTAGGCGCTCCACTTGGGGTGACCTGCAGTTCCTTTCCAGAAATATGTGCTGCGTATGCACCGTAGTTACTTTCTTAACTATTTGAGCTGAATTGTTCAATTGAGTGGGACAGAGCCGCAGCAACCCCAATGCGTGCAAGGTTGCCGCCGGTGTGGCTCCCCGCACGCCCTCGCAGGGCGTTCTGAAGTATCAGTTAAGCCAGGGTGCCGGCTGTTCTTCTGATTGCCATTCATCCTGATGGTCTAACGTATACAGATAATAGTTCATCTACCCCAGCGCAGTGCCTCGTGATGCGGGCTTTCGTTATGTTTCTTGCTCGCTTCTCCGCCGCTGGCCGCCCTCTGCCACTCGCTCACAATAGCTCAATCGGGGACGCTGTTGTGCGGCGCTGCAGCCTCCCGCTGCGCCCGTAAAGATTGAGTCTTATGGGTCCCTCCTAAACAGCCCCTGTGGGTCCTTCTGGGCTGCCCCAAGACACTGCGGGGGTTCATCTTCCGTCCTTCGCCTGACGTGTCCCGCTCCCACCAGCGCGGGGCGCGTCTGGCCTCTGGGCCTTTGGCCCCAAAGAAACTAGCGTAGAATTTTCCTTTCTATTTTCGCCACTGCTGTGGTAGTGCAGTAGTGGCCACACCAGGGGCTCTGCGAGTTCTTGCTGCGAAGAGCAGCGAGGCCTTTGGCCTACTGCCCGCTGCCGCTAGGGAAGCTGAAGTGCTTGCATAGGAGGCCTCAGCATGCAGGGCCTGGTTGAGGCGGCGGCCTTGGGGCTGCTTTTCTGTGGGCTGCTGTGGGCGGGCCCTGTGGAAGGGGGTGACAGCTCCAGATGGCCAGAACGGTACATCTACTTGCAGTCTGGCAGATCTCCACCTGGCAGGTACGGGGCCTATAGCCGAAAGACTACTAGCGGAGGCGAGCTCCACAGGAAGTCAATCCCCTGCGAAGAGTCCAGCAGCATCTCTGACGGGACCCAAATAGGGCCTGCCTTGGCCCGCACGGCCAGCGAAGTAGGCCAGCATCGGGCGTTGCTGCTGTCTATAGCTCTGGGAATGATTTTTCTGGTGCGCGGCTACTACATAAGCAAGTCGGGTAGCAAGCCGTCGGAGATCCAGAGCCTCCGCAACAAGCTGGAGAGCCGGATGGACCGGCTGGCCTCGGATAAGGCCAAGTTGCTGGAGTCGAAGGCACGCCTAAGCGAAATGCAGCGCCAAATAGCTCACGAGCAAGGCATTGCACAGGGCCAGAAGCTCCACTTGGAACGCCAGAAGCTGCTGCTGCACGCAGAGGAGGAGGAACTCCGCAGCAGGGAAAGCCGCATGGAGGCCGAGCGAGCCAGCCTGCGGGAAGTCGAGGAGGAGGCTAGACAGACGAAAAAAGTGTTCCTGGGCAATGAATTTCCAGACGAGAACGGGGGAAACGAGGACCTGCAGGCCGCAGGAAGGACCCACACCCTTGGCCAAGCCGCCGACATGATGAAAAGGGTGGAGGCGGAGTTGGGCGTTTTCGAGACAGCAGCCTGCAGCTCCTCTCAGGCCAGCAAAAAGACCCTTCTGGTTCGGGAATTCACGGAACTGGCCAAGATGAGAGCAGCAATAACAGTGCTCAGGGCTCTCCCCGAGGAACCCACCAACGCGGAAGAGGCCAGGGACATCCTGAGGGCCCGCCGCTTGCTCTTGGCCGCCGCCGTTCGCTGCCAGGTCATCTCGTGGTCGACCATTCATCGACTTTTGCAGCTCAAGGTTGAGCTACAGGCGGAGATGATCCTGGAGAACTCGGGCAAGGAAGGGCTTGAGCAGCTCCGTGAAGTCGCGGAGACGGAATGGCAGGTGCAGGAGGGGCAGCAGAAACGGGCGAGGCAAACCCTGGCGCAGCTGGAACAGGAAATAAAGAAATGCAAAGAGAAACAGCGCCAGCTGCACGAGTACGGAGCGAACCACAAGAACCTTCGACGGGACGCCGTCAGGAGGCTCGAGAAGCAACTATTCGACTGGGAGAGCTACGAAGTCACTGTAAGGGCCACCAAGGCCAGGATTCTGGCTACTGAGGCCGCAGCATCCACCACACGCGAAGTGTTTCTTCGGCAGAAACGCGCGCAAATCCAGCGGGCAGTTGACAACCAAGCTCAAAGGTGGCGGCGGCTTCCCAACGACTCCATTCGCCTTACAGAGCTTCAGACTCTGCTTTCGGCCGTCAGTGATGAGCTCGAGGAGGCCAAGGAGATCTACGATATGGCCAAAGAAATCAAGGACGCCTACGAAGCGAAGCACCCAGTCACGGAGGAAACGCCTTCGTCAGCGCAGCAGAAGCAACAAGCCAAGCCACACAGGCCCCTTGTCTTCGAGGAGAGGCGCCGCACATACTTGTACGACAGAGGAAACCTGGGACCTTCTGATTCGGCACAAGCGAAACCCTCCCATGCGATGCCCGTAATTTCCACTGTAAGTGCGTCTTCGTTGTCGTCGTCGGGGGGATACAAAGTAGGTAAGCATGCCTTTCCACACGAACCACCCCAGGCCTCACGCCTCGTAGTTTTCTTATTCTGCTGGACTAGACTGAAGCTGCGGCAGCTGAAATCGCAGCAAGAGGAAGCAGATGCACTCTAGGAGATGTTGCTGTCACACTGGGTTACGATCTTTCCGTTATGAGCGCCTACGGCATTCGCAGGCTTTTTACCTCGCGCACCTGAAGGAGTGCTAATGGGGAAGCAGCTCAGTCAGGTCCCAGCGCGCTCAAGTAGGTCCTTTTCTCGTCCTTTTCTCCCTGCGGTTCTTTTGGGTGTCCAAGTATGGCTAGCTTGTCAAATCCATGCAGTTTTAGGCAAGCACTACAAGTGAATGTGACTGTCGTCGAGGCTCTCAGTGCCCGTTTAAAATTTCCAGTGCCTCATCAAGAGATTCTTTGCGTACTGTCAATTCAGGTTCTCCAAATTACGATAATTCGGATGGATACAGGCAATCCAAAGGCAAAACACAACAAGCAAAAGCTGCTCCGGCGGCATTTGAGCCAGGTGTGTCAATTTCGCCTTCAACGATCGCTCCGTTTTTAGAGTAGCCCCCCTGTAAATGCTCTCGTCACGTCCATTGGGTCCATAGTTCCTAGCTCTTCTCACTTTGGTGAGTCAACTGCAAACGGCGGCGACAAGCTTTGCGAATTGTCTCAGGGCACCCAGAAACGCCATTTCCAATTCAACAGGACAATGTCTTGGTGCGGAGCAATAAGGAACGACCGCCTTCAGAGTCAAGTAAGTAACCTGCCTACCGGCTCCACGACAGCACATCTGCCTATCTCTAGAATCCAAGCACAAATGCATATGCGCACTCAACTGCGAGTGCTGAGTGCAGCTGGGAGGTGATATTTCGTGTGTTAGGGGACCTCCAAGACATGCTGGTTCGTCCTCTTGTATGTATTGGTGATTTGTGTACACCAGGCGACAGCGAAGCAGCTGATGACGTACCGTACATAGACGATGATGACGATTCTGAAGGTGGGGGTATACATACTTTTCTCGTCTCCGCCCGCATCTTTTTGTTTGTAGGGCCATCCATTTACGACTGAAGAAAATGTGCCGCACTCGCAATCCTGCTTATGTCGACGCTGAAGGAACTGGCTGCATAGGACTTTCATTATGAACTTCTCCTGTTTTCTTCTCAGAAACACCGCCTTTACCACCGCCACGTATAATTCCGCCACCACCAAAACGCCCGCCACTACCGGACAATGCCATTCTTGAAACAGATATGGATGCGGAATCTATCGACGAAGGTACTTTCGCTGTATATCTCATCTTGGGCCATTCTGGCAAACTTCTTTCAAAGAGTCGCTGTTGCTTGCAAGCTATGTGCATGCAGGCAGCTGGGCCACCGGAATGTTACGGACGGCGTTCACCTAAATTCTTTAGATAGTGTATTGCTGTTTGGATATTCGTTGTTGGCTTCAGCAATTTGCATGTCACCGCTTTTGCCTTGTTGCTGCAGGTAGATCTTTCCATTTGGACTCATCTTCGGAAGATGGCGACAGTTCTAGCTTGCCGTCGTTACCTCTAACCATGGCTCCCCTGTCAACAGGAGCAAAACTCCTCACCTCCAAGGGCTTCACGCCCATACAGCCAAGCATCTCGTCATCGGGAAAGCCGTTTACGGAAGTGTCCTCGCAGCTTGCCCCAGAAGCTGAAGCTCGGCAGCCGCAGTCTGCAGCTCCACCAATACCACGCGTTGACATTCAAGAGGCAAGCGGACCTCAAACGCATTCAGGTGTGTCTCATGCTCACCCGCTGCACCTCGAAACGTCTTCCCTTTTTTTGAAACTTTCAATTAGTAAAGAGATGCAGATTGGAGCGTGCAGTCGCCTTAATTGCATGCGGCAAGCCAAATTGGTACGAAGTACTGAGTATTTTTTCTTCTGTAGCTCTCACGAAAATTGCGAACTGTGTTGTGTCTGCTGGCAACAATGGAGGCGTTGAGAGACGCTCTATTGGCACATCACCAATGACTGACAATAATAATCCTGAAGGTGAGGCAAGCTAAATTAAGTACTTCCATGTATGCTTCCCAGGCTAAACGAGTGTCTGATATGGTACCTACAGCCTTGCATGGAGGCTGTAGCTATCTACCACCAGAGCGGTGCATGAAGGCTGTAGCTACCTTCGGCTACCACCACCTCACCAAGTGTGCCTTCAGCATCCGCAGTTTATCCCACTCCCGAAAATGCCACTCAGTTTCTAGAATTTTGAGCATATAACATGTCCGCGTGCCGTTCGTCTTGTCCTTGAGTTTCGTCCTACTTGCCTCTTAGCGATCTGAATGTAGAATCACTTGCATACACCTGTGCACAGCTGCCTCATGCGGAGCCACTAAGAAATAGGTTTTAGTCTTCGGGACATTAGGGGCAGCCGTTGTGTTCATTGATGCTGCAGGCGCTTCTGTGCACCTTGCCGCACCTGGTTTTTCACGTGATGAAGGCACTTTAGAAAAAACCAGCGCAGCAGGACCCGGTCATTCGCTTTCACCTGGGACCCCTGTAGATTCACCTGTGCTTCGAGCGCCTTCGCCAATGCCTCGTGCGCGCTCACCTGTGCCTCGAACACCATCACCTTTACCTCGTTCGCGCTCACCTGTGCCTCAAGCGCCTTCACCTTTGCCTCGTTCGCCTTCACCTGCTCCACCAGCGTCTCGAACGCCTTCACCTTTGCCCCGTTCGCAATTACCTGTGCCTCCAGCGTCTCGAACGCCTTCACCTCTCCCTCGTTCGCAATCACCTGTGCCTCCAGCGACGAGCCCAGTGCCCGACGTTACTGTCACAGCGGAGAGTGTTTCGAAGCATTCGGGCGCACCTGAGTCACAGGGACTGGCTACACGGAGCTCGGGCGGTATAGCGTCACCGCATACCGATGAAGGTGATGACGGGAGTGATGAGGAATCCAGTAAGCCATCTACTGCGCCGTACCTCGGTTCATAAGCGTCGAAGTTTAGTTGGTCAGAAGCGACCTACAGGAACATGCACGCAGGCCTTACGCCTGTAGTGTCTCCAGTGCAGACGATATGTTTATTGGTGATGCAGGCGGAAGTGGGGAGCTTGAACTTACCATATAGGCGCTCCCTGAAGAGAATAGTTAAACAATGAAGAGAGCAAGAGCGATTAGGGGTGCAACCTGGCTGTTCTCTTCCATCAAGTGCAGGCCTGCCTGCCTTCCTTTGGTTTGGCCTGCGCACAACTGGAAGCATTCCGCTATTGGAGCAAGCAGGTTATACTTTCTTTGGGAAACAAAGCCTCGCGGCCCGTCTCTGGATTTCTATTGTTCCTTCGTGCAGGGCAGCAGAGCAGTGTCCACTGCAGGCATGGGGGCTTACTGGCGGTGCCAGTGTAGGCATTAACCCAGACAAGGAGTTGAAAGACCAGCAGACTACTAAGTTTTAACCATGGCGGGTGCTGCCTATGATCCCTCCTGGAAATTTCTGGGGGCATGCTGATCTCCTTCGCGAAGCAGCAGGGTGTTGGAAACTGTTTTGGAGCTTCGAGTTGAATCTTTGATCGGAAGCTAAACATCATGTAAAGCTCCCCACCTGTCTTGCTCGGAAAAGGGTTTTCTATGATTAGCTTTTATTTGCAATCTCAGCAAAATGCGCCTGCTTCATTTTCAACCCTTTTACCAAGGACGCTTGTGTGGCTATAGGATCCTGCTGGCGCTGATCCACGCGCTGGCGGATACTAGATATGTGCCAAGCTTCATCTTTTTCGTGTGTCTTCTTTCTTTTTTAATGCATGTATCACTTTTGTAGATCAGGTGAATTAGTAGTAAGAAAGGCACATGTGGCCTTTCCCAAGCGATTCCGTTGCTCCAATCACGAGCAATTGGAACTTCCCACCAACCTGTGATGGCTACTGAAAGGAGTTATGGCTCGTGTACTGCTGAATGAATGGGCAGGCAGTTGCCAAACATCAGAAAAGATGCAACAGCAGAAGCACTAGGCTCCTGGATTCCCATGGAGCCACAGCCTGGGGATTTGTTAAAGTCTAGTTTCTGGCACTGGTTGGCATGCTCGTGCATGGCAACGGCAAGCCGTTTGCGTGATTCTGTGGGTGATAGGAAGGTATCGTTCTTGATGGGGCGCCATTTGCAGCTACTTCAGGCGCTGCAGATCTGCAGTTGGGATCTGTTGAGTAACACGGTGGGATGGACCACGGGCCGCGCATTAGCTATTCTTTGACAGAGTCAGGCGAATGTCTTGACAACTAGCGCAGCTGGAAGACAGTGCTCCAGCAAAGGAGTTAAGTTTTTGTTGAATTGGAGTGCAATTCAGAGCGCCCTTGAGGCTAAATGCGTTTTTTGTACTCCAAGTGTCATCTCAAAGCTTGCGGCGTCTGCGTGACGTACCAGGTATGTCGCGTGCGTATAGGAATTTGGTATACAAAGTTTGCAGAAACATAGTTTAGTCTTTTGTGCTGACGTTTTTGTGAAGTGAAGCGAACATCAACTTCACCTGCACTATCTAGGGTAGCGGCAGCGCTTACCTGTCGCCCTAGCTTCCGGTTATTTCGGCCTGTACCGCAGCTGATTTGGAGGTGAGGTGAGGCTGCCAAGAGGGTTTATTTGGGGTTGGAAAGGCTTCACACTCGATTGGGTGCGCCGTACATGTGTAGGCTTTTTAGTTTAGTAATAAAGGCGTTAGAGAGCGTAAAAGCATAGATACGAGTTGTTCTCACAATTTCTCAAGAATGTTGGCCAAACGTTTAACCCAAGCGCTCCGGTTCTGCCGTCAACCTTGTAGCTTTAGAGATGGGTTAAAAATTCCTTTGCATGTGTGTTCCAGCGCTCGCCGCAATTTCTTCGTCAAATCTGACAGAGGCATTGTGTTTTTCGTAGGCAGGATTGTACAAGCTGGGCGACGAACGCGGGGACGAGATTGATCCGTGACTGGTGGAGTGAGAAATTGAATAGGCGCTTCGGTTTAGCGATACCGGATTTCTTCGCTGGATGGAGCTAACTTGTCTGCTAGACCGTGTGGTAGAAAGGTGCCTTCTTTAGATGCTTTCTTTACTAATGAGCATGAAAGAGTCAACTGCGAATTCAGTGTCCCAATCAAATCGCCACCTGCACCGTTAACTAGTTGATGCCTTTTGCCTGGGCACGAGACATGCCGGAAATTTCTTCAGTGTCTCAATCAAATAGCCACCTGCATCGTTAAGTAGTTGGTGCCTGTTGCTTAAACACGAAACAATCCGAAAACTTCTTGTGCATATGCTCACATTCGTTCTTATGGTCAAGTGAATCGCACACTTTCTCAATCAGCGGACTGAGTGGGGTAATTGCATAACATCGTAGAAAAGCAATTCACAAGTTTGATTTCAATTTGCCCTAATTCGTCATAATATATAAACTGCTGCTGCTAGAGGCGGACATAACATCCAACAGCTCTGAAATTTGTTGTAGGCATAATGTGATGCGCTTACTTAGTTTCTAAGTAGTTGTATCATGTTTTACAGCCACACAGGAATGGAATACTAGCTAGAGATGGTGCGGTTATGGCATGAACGTTCGAGGAGCCTACTACTTCTGGCCGGTGCTGATGGGACAAAAGCCACAATAGAGCAGGCTCGAGAAAAATTTTTAAGAATTCAAAGTATCTCTTCTCTGCGAGGCAAGAATGAACCAGCAGGAGCTCTGCGTCTTAGTGTGTATGTTAGCTGCATATATATATCAGATGCGGATATGAAGGAGCGGTGAGCGCTTAAACTGAACTAGCCTGCTGTAGTTCTCAGTGCGCGGTCACCTACGGGTGCAGCGCACAGCAGACCCAGACCCTCCACCATCAGACGTTGTCGCCTCTGCTTACTTTATTTCAATGGGAAACCGTTCGTAACAGCAAATTCCAGTTGTTTTGCCTCCAACCGAGCTCAATTTTGTCGAGTGACTCCTATACTCTATTTGGTAGTGGCTAGGTCCCAAATAAAGGTAAGTGCCGCACCAATAACCTTGAAACTGAGATTAAAACACCTAAAGTCAGGTTAATCAAAAGGAAAACTGCCATGGCGACGTCAGCTCTCTGTACCTTCACCAGAGATGTACACTCCAGATCATATGGTTTGCTTCCCAATTCGAAATTTGGATCCAAAGCTGCCTGCCTTGAATACACAAGAAAATTAATTATTCGCATGTGAGCTTTCTCCTCAAATCCTAATCGCTGTTTTCATCAGCACTGCACTCTACCATGGTGTTGTGCACGTTCCCCTTTGCAGATGCCCTTGTACAGCTTGAAGTATCTTGCGCCAAGGATAACTGCTTATTTGGGATATATTGTAGGCTAAAAGTGATTGCGGGTTCGTGTAGAGTGGAATTCTACAGCAGTGAATGCAGCGGAACGACGCCGTTGAAAACCACGTAGCCCACACTCATCGCCTCTTCCAAAAGAAAAGCCCTTCATCCGGCTCATGATGACCAGAGGATGGAATTCTACTCGATAAACATTGGAAGGAATGCTCCCTAGGAGATATTTCATTATGTTACACTCGATGCTACCGCACGACGCTAACTTGCAGCAGCACAACCATGGGGCCTCATGCCGCACTTCTGCTTGCCCTACTTTCTCATTTATGTTGAAATGATACCGAAAATTGCATTCAAATGCCGTATAATCTTTCCCACTCGCATAGGGACGCTCTTTGCTGCTAAATTTGCGTACACGCCTGTTCTTCAGAGGGCTGGCTGAGCAAGGGAAGAGGCTGTTTGTCTTAAGCGGGATCCGCTTCCAGCCCTCGACGCCCTTACACGGCAAACTTATGATTTCTGCAGTTGCTCTTGCCTGCTACGCTATAGTAATACAATCGGAATTTGTTTTAGTGCGAAGTGGAAGGGACTAAAAAGGCTCCTGCTCTTCAACTCACGTTTATTCCAGATAAGCCAAGGGCTGACCTAGGGTAGGGCCCACTGCGGCGATCGCCTACGTCAGCTGAGCAGGAAGCGTTAAAAGGATTTCCTTCAAGCATGTCCGCCGGGATCATACCTGAACAGATGAAAGAGATGCAGAACTACTGCATCGGTGTAATATAGCGGTCGCTTGAGCGATGCATCTTCCCCTCTGCGCGTCCGCCGTAAGGAAAGGCCAGCAGCGCACAAGTGCAGAAAACCAGCTGCCATTTGGTACTACGAGAAGGGGCTGCAGCTTATTGGCAGACCAACGGACACGAGAGTACTTTCCAGGGCCCACGGAGGTAGCAGCTGTTGGGAGGCCAGTGAACCCTGTTGCTTGCTTGCCCCTTTGTTCCGCTTGCGCGGAGTGGAGAAGTCTCCGTAGAGAACCACGTGATCTCGTTGGGGCGAGCACGCAAAGATGCTGAAGAAAACGGGAATTGCTCTTGCCGGGCTGCTGCTGTCCTCCGCAGTTTCTGCCCAGCGTAGCCTAGCTGACGGACTTGAAGACCGCTTTGAAGGCCCACCAATATTTCCTAGGAGCGCGGCAGCCACTGCAGAGGAAGCGGCGTCTTTTGACGGTCCTGCAGGTCAATCCGAGCGAGTCAGCCAACCTACCGCACGGGAAGAATCGCCACCTGCCGCTGCCTTGGAGTCGGTAGAGCCTCGCGTGAAAGCTCAGCATAAGGAGCTGACGGAACGTTTCTGGATACCGACTTCAGCAGTAAATCAGAACCGCAAGCTCCATCCACCCCCTTCTGGGGCAAACCTTTCGGTTGCTATCAAGGGAGCTGGAAAGAACCAGCGAGAGCGCTGGCGGCACGACCTGCGCTCCAGTACCTTGACGCACGCGCTGAGAAACGCGAGCACCCACCTGGGCCGCATGTCCCGTCGCGTGTATCAAAGGGGAGAGGACTACTGGAAGAGCCCCAAGAGGCGCCGGGCCCTGGTTTACTTCTCCATTGTCGGCGTCATTATGGTACTTGTGGCCTACGCCGAGCATAAGTCGAATATGTTGTCAGTGGAGGCTCAACAGCTGGCGGAAAGAGATTCGTTCGTAGAGAAAATAGAAAGGGAGGTGGCGGCGGAGGCTGAGGCAGTGAATGCCGAGGTGGAGGAGCTGACGGCCAAGAAAAACGAAAATGAACAGGCAGGGAAGGAGCTGGAAGCTGAAGAAGATGCAATGAAAAGGCGCAAAGAAAGTCTGCGTGACAAAGCCGCGGTTCTCCAGGAGCACCAATTGATCCTGCGAGTTCGCGAGGCGAAAGCCCAGCTCGCCTCCCCGAATGAGCTCGAGGTGATGGGCACTGCTGCGGGGAGGAAGGCGGTGCTGGAGAAGCTCAGCGCAATCAAGGAGGAGGCCAACCGCCTCTTTTGGAATGAAGAGGCCCTTAGGGCTAGGGAAGACACGGCGATGACGAAGTTGGCGCGGCTAGAAGCGGAGGTCAGGTCCAAGTACCACACAGTTCTGCGCATAATGAGTTTGGACGAGCGCAGTCCAGCTATGAAGCAGCAGACGCTGCGGCTGAAAGAGGAGCTCCGAAACTCTGTCGCGAGCCTTGAAATTCTTGTTCACCAGACGATGCTCCTGCTATCGGAGGATATGTGGGCTGCGAGGGCAGAGAATAAGCTCCTGAAGAATCCAGCGGCCAAGGCCCAGCTGCTGCAAAACCTGGAGGCAGAATGGATGACGCAACTAGATCACCAGGAGCGGCTGACGATAATGCAAGATGCATCTATTGGGAGCCTAGGACAAACCCGTAGCCAAATTCAGCAGACGAAACGTGCCTTAGAGCAGGTAACAACTTCGGAGGAGCAGAAGCGGCTAGAGGACCGTCTCTATAGCCTGCAGACAGCTGAGCTCTACCACGAAAGCTACCTCCGCGTTGTTGACTCCGAGATCAATATTCAGCTTGATAAGCAGGCGTGGCTGACCAAGATGAGGGGACTGGTGGAGGAGGCGGAGAAGAGGGCCAAAGAAAGACTCAAGGCTTGGTCAACCCCAGAAGCGGCTCGCGCGGAGATATCGGGCTACATAGAGGCTATAGAAGGCCTTCTGTCGTGTCTAGACGACAAACTTGCACTGTGCTACAATATACACAGGACTTGGAGGGAGAAATGGACCCAGGTAAACTCGGTCTAGTGAACACTCATGCAGGCTCACAAGGTGAGGCGTTTTGTATACACTGAGGCCATAAGACTAAACGATTAGAATGTAGCCACGATCAGTCGCAAACCCTGCAAACTGCTACATGGTCCTACTTGTGGGTAGGGGCAAGAGATGGGTATTTGAAGGCGCGCACAGCGCCCACCGCAGAGCGGATTCTTCACGCATATGTGGCCGTGTGGATGCTGTGATCCCTATCTTCCATTATTTTCTCTGTCCTTTTATTTAAACGCATATGATGAGATCTGTTCCCCACAAGGTGGTTTTTGGCCGGGCCTGGCTGGGCCTGTCTCTAGCGGTACTATCATGTGTTTTCGTACACTGCGCCCGAACAAGGCAGCGAAGAAATCGTATCAGCAGGCGCCCTGAGCAAGCATATGTACAGCGGTGTGCGTGTGTGTGTACGCCGTGTTCTCGGAGCACGCGGTTTGGTTATTCAGTGAGGAAGCTCAAGGGGACTTCTGTTGCCTCCTCGCTCACAATAAGCCAATGGTCCCTCACCTCACTTGACGAAAGAGCTTTGCATGCATTTATTTCCAGTTGGCCTTGCTTGTTATTTTTCTGTATGAATAGCACCAAGGATCAACTCAACTTCTTCAAGAAGTAGTAGACTTCAGATATGCAGAAACCGTGTTTGCGGGGGGCTTCTGATCTCTCAGAGTCAGCTGCTTTGTTGTGATGCGGTCAACCGCCGCGTGCTGAGGGCAGGCATGTCCGAATTCCCAACCACTTAAATAAATAGAAGGTGGTAGCTCCGTAGAAAAAACCTCCATTTACTGCTGCCTTTCTGGCCAGCTTTTGAGCTTTTAAAGCTATAAAACTGTGTGGCTATCCAATCACATCAGCTGCTAGATAGCAACTTAGCAATTTAGCTCTTGTGGTTGAGGAAATTAGGAAATTCACTGTGTCATCTATCCTGGAGGCGTCTTCGCTATAAGGTGTATACTTCACGGCTTTCCTTCCACAAACCTTCAGGGAAAAGCACTGTACTTCGCGCTTGAATGCGAATCCCTGAACATTGTACTTCGCGCTTGCGTGTGAACCCCTGGTGAACCCTCGTGCCCTCCTCTTTCCACCAACAACCGATACAGCCGGAAGAAAAAAGGTATAATGAGGCAGTTTAGAAGAAGATAAAGCTCTACCAGCCAGACAAGTAGAGAAAGCACAACAAATTAAACGCTTTGGTGAACTACAGACTCGGTGCACTCCGCTACTGAGTCAGTGCACTGCGCTCTGCCGCTGCAGGTTTCCAACACTCTCAACCGGCTTCCCACTGTCGTGAATAGAGATTCACGACAGTTTATAATTTAACGTTGGAGCCTGCATAGTCCCAGTCTTTTAACAGGCCTGCACGGGCATTTTACTTAGCCAGCCTGGAAATTCTGCAGCCATCAGAACGAACTGTGGCTGCAGCATAGCACAGACTATCTCCGTGGCTTCCATAACCAAGTACTGCCTTCGTGTAGGCTCCGTTGAACCTGAAACAGCTGTCGCCGCTAGCACGTGACTGCTGTTCCTCCATTTTCATTTTATGTTGCCACCCTTGAGATATCCTCGTCTCCTAGCAAGTACCTCGTCACGCACACACTAAGCGTTCAACCCTACGTGAAAACTGACAAACCAGGACAGAATGAAACCGTACCGCAAATTGTACAACTGAAGCACTCACATATTATTAGGTCGAGGCCAATAGCCTCCTGCGGCTACTGCGTGTTGTACGCTTTCCACGACGACAGATAGCTGCAGTATAAGCCGCCAAAAGCATATTCGCCACGCAGTTTTTCAGCCTGTGTTCTCCTTCGAATCAAATTCAGTCTCTGGCCATATGCAAACAAAAAATAGATGGGGCAGAACAGCAGGGTAAGAGCCTTCCGTGGCATCTCTCTGATCCTATCATTCATTCATAAAGTGGTTGTTGCGCTTTTGTTCCGGGCTGGGCAGCAGTTGAGAAGAAGAAGGGTAAAGAAGCATCAGTAGCGGGCTGCCAGCCGGCGGGGCCGTAGTAGCTTTGGCTTCACTGCATGCGAGACTTCCGCAAGCTTTTCCAGATGTATACATTTTGTGTAGTATTTTAAGTATGAATTCGAGGCTGAGGGATACAGTATGCAGAAGATCGGCACAAGGAAGTGGGATGCATGTAAGCTGCCTCGCTGCTTCGGCGGGCTTCCGATGCAGAGAGCAAAGCAAGAAGGGACATACGTCCTCACCATTTATGTAGATGTCCACAGCGTGAAACAAACCTCAACGGCAGGAGACAGTATACACAGCAGGGAGAGACTACAGTGGGCCAGCAGCGAGGGCCCCAGGAGGGCCCCCGCAAACTGCGAGGCCCTTGACTCAAGTGCTGCTGTTTCCAGTGGCCCACGACCGGGCCTGAAAAAGCGTAGGGCGCTTCATGTGCCCATTGTCTTTTGAGGGGGGGCCCCGTTTCAGAAGCAGCGGTATAGTTGACAACAGGTGGGGGCCCCAGCCGCTTGCTGCGCGAAATACGGTATTTTCTTCGAGGTTTTTAGGGTTGTTGCCCTGCAAAGATGTCGCTGCCGGAAAGTACATTCTCACAGGCCTCAGGAAACCAGGAGAGGCTCTCGGCTGGCTCTCGGCCCTATACTTCTGTTATGGGGCCTACGGGGGACTCAAGCGCCCCTAGGGCCCCCCTCCCTCAACCCCAGCCCCAAGGGACTATCGGCGCTGCAGCTGCATCCTCTCCTGTTGCTCATACTCAGGCATACATGGATTCGGGAGAGCGAGTCCTTATTCCATGGGGTGTACCGGCAGCAAGTGGTGCCGTTGCAGCTGCTGCATGGGACCCTAAATCGGCGCTGCAGTCGAAGCAGCAGCAGAGGGAAGCCCTTTTTCACGCGGCATCCACATTTAAGGAGGCTGATGCCCCATTCGGGGCCCCGCTTGTTCAGGCGTCTCTGCCATTGACCACTGACGGATCCAGCCCAGCAGTTGGCCCTCCACATGTCCCTGCTGAAGGGGAAGCAGGCCCTCGTCAGTGGCCAACCCCAGTCCCTCAGCCTCCTTGGGTAGGAGGAGCCACTGGCCCTAACACGGCAGCAGCAGCAGCAGCAGCATCTGTACCGTCTACTTTATCTATTCCTGAGACACAGCCGCAGCAACAACAGCAACCGCTGCTACAGCAGCAACAGACACAACCGCATCATCCGTTTCTCGCCGGAGATGGTCTGCACGGGGTTCATCCTGGGGCCCCTGGGCTGTCTGGAGCTCCTGGGGTACTTGGAACCCCTGAGGGTCTCGGCATCCCCTCCGCGGCCGTTACTTATGATGCAGCCGAGAGAAAGTGGCAAGCGAGGTGGGCTCAAGGGAGTCAGTGCGGAAGTGACTCTGCCGCTGCTTCCCATATAGGGCCCCCCTTAGCTGATGGCAGTAAGATGGGCGAAGAGGGGCCCCTTAACTCTGTTCCCACAAATCAGGAGTACATACACGCTGTAATCAACGAGGGAACCCACCATAACAACCCCAGCTTTCACCTAGCAGCCGAAAGCTCCCACCTGCAGCTTCCCAGGACAGGGCCTATGGTGTTTATGCCAGTTGCAGACGACCTGAACTTTGCAGGGGGCCCTTTGGAACAACAGAAAACCAAGAAGAGGCCAGAGAGCCACGGGGAAATACCAACTCAGCGCTGGATTTCGGGGGCCCCTGGGGTCTCAGGAACCACGGGGCTGAAGAGCGAACCGGGACCAGCAGCCAAGTTGGGCTGCGCTGTAAAAGGCCAAGCGCGGCTTGCTGCAGCAGCACCGCAGCAGCTGCAGCAGCAAGAGATGCAGCAGCTTTCCGAGGCATTGGGGGTCGCCAGAATGGGGGCTTTCCAGAGGTCGGGGGCGCCTTCATTAATCGGCGACGGGCAACAGCAAGCGGAGTACGGCATGTACAAAAGCTTCGGTCCGAATGGGGGGACCCTCGTGAGCCCGTGGCCTGGACTTCCAGCTGCTCAAAAGCTCGTCAAAGGGTCAGCGGGGGGCCCCCCTCAAGGGGGGCTATGCGTGGCAGGTGCAGCTGCCTCACTCTCACGAGGTCCCTCTAGTGTTAGCTCTTCTGTGCAGATGGCGCGTGGGTCAGCCTTGCCGTCTTCGTCTCAGCTGGGAGTTCCTCAGGGCCCCCCAGACTGTTTGCTGTCTGCAGTTGCATCGCAGCAGTATGCGTTACTGGCGGTGAGAGCTTTCCTGCTAGCTTGTGATGTACCTGTTGCTCCCCCGTGGAAGCAAATAGCTTTGTGGGGCCCGTGGCTGTCGGGGCAGCAGCGGGGGCCGCCACACGTGGGCTTGCAGTGCCCCCAGCCTTGTGGGGATCCCAAGCAGCCAGAGGGAGATGCAGGCCTCACAGAATGTGAGGAACCTGCACAAGTAGTAGAGGATGAGCCAGTGGGGGGTCCGCCAGAGGAGAACACTCCAGAGGCTTCTGAAGAGGCTCACGTCGGCGTTGCACCGGGACAAGCAACTGAGCAGGCGCCTGTCAAGCAAGAGCGCAAGAGGAAAAGAGTAGGGGGCTTTCAAGGGAGTGGCGCAGCAGCGAAGAAGGCCTCCAAGAGCCAGCGCTCTGCCGCAGTAGATGGCGTCTTGATGACTGCTCAGGGTAAGAGTTTGCCACAATAGAAGCGGCTGCAGCTGCGTGGGCAACATGTCTCTTTAAGAAAACAGTGGTATAAGCTTTAACGCACCATAGAAGGACTGTTTTCCTCTCTTTATGTGCTCGTTGCAGTAGATTCATTAGACACATCCGGGATGTAAGCATGCTGCTTCTGTTGTGTTTGCTGCTTTCAGATTTGTACAAAGGCGAACTGCTGTCTTGCGCGTCGCCTCCGTTGCCCCTGACGGCTTTGCAGCAAGCTGACCTCTGCCTAGAGCTGATAACAGCTCTGGGGCGACTGCGGCCTCAGTGGCGTCGGCGGGGCAATCGCGTGCCTTACCAGTTGCACGTGGCACGGCTTAGACCTTCTTTGCTCTTTCCAACAACACCACCGAAAGCCGCCGTTCTCGAGTCATACAGAACTGCCCTGGGGCCCCTCGTGGCCCACATAGCGGAGTTACCGTACGTGCACTTGGCCCCGGGAGAGGCGGAAGAAGTTGTCGAGGAGGTGGAAATGCTGAAAGGATCGGCAGCAATTGACTCTGTGCTGGATGCCCTTGATGCTATGGGGCCTTGGGGCCATCAAGACGGAAGCCAACTAGAGCGAGATTCAGAGGCTATGGAAGCCGAAGCGATGAGGGACACGGGTGACCGCAGGCAACAACTGCTGGTGCAGCACCAACAGCAGCAGCAATTGGAGCAGCTGCAAGCGCAACAGCAGCAACAATTGCAACAGCAGCAGCAGCAGGTAGATGCAGCCCGCATATCTGAAGTTCAGGGCCCCGCTGAGACTGACGTGATCTTAGCATATAACCCGGACCTGAAGGCTCTCCGCCAGTTGAACTACCTCGTCCCTGGAACTCGAGTGTACATACACGCAGATGCACTAGAAGTAAAGTTGGCGGAAATGGCTCTACCGCCCCTGCCTCCTCCACCTGCCGGAGGAGGTGAAGGAAACCTGTCGGCACCCAAAGGGCCACTATCGAAGTTTGTGATGGTGGAAGCAGGAGAGCGATACTTCACGCTTCCATATGGGGAGTACTTGCCTTTGAAACTGGTGAGCCCTCCTCATCATGTCTTGCAGTTCTCCATAGGCCAAGTCGTGCAGCTGCTTCAGGAAGGTCGTCTCTGTTTACTTCGGTTTACCGAGCGTGAGGCCCTCAAGCGGCGGCTTCCGCTGTTGGGGGCCCCCGCGGGACCACCCAACGACCCCACTGCGGGAGGAGGCGGTGGGTCTGTTGGGTACAAGACACAGAGAGGGACGAAGCCAGCGTGTTGCCCTGCACCTCCTGGCATAGAGAAAATATGCCGGTGCAAGTGCAACCACAGGCGACAAGAACTGTACGCACAGTTGAAGCAGAGGCTGCGGATCGACAAGAAGGGCTGCCTGGCCGCCATCAAAGATTGTCTGGACTTAAACCACGTGGCCTTTGCTCTGCCCTCGGCGCGAACTTACCAGCTGGAGATTCTGTCGTATCTGTTTGGAGTGGACCCGTGGTTTTATGCCAAGAACAGACACGAGGCCCCATCGCAGGCCGAGATTCCTAATATCATACGGCGGTACAAAGAGCTGACCACGACGAAGGAGTACGAGCAGTCATTCAAAAGCTGGCTAGAGGAACAAGCGAGAGAAAAGTGCCTCCAGCAAGAGATCACAGCAGACATAACAGCCATAGGCCTAAACCTGAAGGACGGTGATGGGGGCTGCGTCACTGCTTCAGCGAACCCAGCTCAGCAGGATCCTAGGGTTCAGGCCAGCATAGCACAACTCGTTCCGAACACCCCCATATGTGTGCGTATCAAAGCCCTTCTGGGCCTGCCCTCGGGCAATGAGCAGCACTTGCGAGGTGTAGTTCGCCGGGCCCAAATGCTCCCTAGGGGCCGAGCAATCAGCATATCAGTTAATAACAGGAAAGAGGAATTCGTGCTTTTGCCGGAAGAACTCGAGACTCTCGTTGCTCACGATGACCTACGACTCGTGCGGATGAGGTCGAGGCAGTGGTTTGCATACGAGGCCCAGGCCACTGGGGTCTCGGGCGCATCCGACGTGCAGTGGCCCAGCTCCACGCAAGACGACAACTGGAAGGCAGATGCCCAACCCTGACAAAATCGGAACGTCATGGACTTCTGGGGATAAACTGGTTCCTAGTTGACAGTGCACAGACGAGTAACGTCAGTCAAGAAGTTCGCTGAGGTTCCATACTTCCTAGGCTGGCTGGCTGCTAGCTAGCAGCAGTGAACGGCTCATAAGCGCTTGTTAATCCGATCGAGGTGGATACGGGCGCGCAAACTCTGTCTATTGCGTATACGATACTAAGTTTAGTCGATGCAGCAGCTCTTCGTATTCGCAGTATGCATATCTTATTGGCAAAGTAGGCAGCTGTCTGATCTGAGGCTGACTCATCAAACTGGGCAGCTGGCCTGCCCCATTCCCTCGGCAACCTGTTCCCTTCTGATTCGATTAGTTCAGCGTACAAAACAAAAAGACTTCGTGCGCTTGGCCCATTTGTGAAATGGCCACAAATGCAGTGCGTAATGAGTTAAGTAGATTGAGCCACTTCGTTGGGTGAGTAGCTAGCCAATGCGGGACGACGGAGCTCCCCAATGAAGCCCGAAGAACAAAAGTAGCCACATGCTGAAAGAGACACTGGGAAGTGGAAGCTGAGACAAGGTTGATAGCTAGCTGGCAATACTGCTGAATAACCCAGTTAGCCATTCATAGAGATGGATGGTAGAGGCACACCAGAGGCTCCATGTGTGTAAGAGCACTGAGACAGCAAGAAGTATGGCATCAGCAAGGTCTTCTGCAACAGCAACGAATGCGCAGAGAATGATGAACAACAACAACAAAAAGGCCGCGAAACGCTCGGCTCGAGGGGACGTGAGTATCGGGAAGAGCGCCACACGGGGCTCAGCTGGAACACCTGAATCTCTTCTACGCGACCTCATGGCGACCCCTCGCAGTTTTGTGGGGCTCAGAGCTACGAGTCGCATTCCAGATGTCGTCCAGGCAGACCACGAACCCTTTGGAGAAGCACGCCCACTTGCTGTCTCGGGTGCTGTTGCTGCTGCGGTCTTACCTGCTGCTGCTTCTGGTTCTGTATCACCAGTGGCATCCGTGCGGCCATCTAATAGAGCACCTTGCTCATCCTACAAACAAAACAGCAAATAATGGCGCTGCGTTTCGACGGCTCCCAACCTACCCAAGACGACGACCCGTCAGGTACCGGGAATATCTAGGGGCGCCAATGCTTTTGAGAATGCGCTTAGTCCATCAGCTTACAGGTCTTGCCGTTTGCTTCGAATCTTCTGAGGGGCTTTTCGGAGCGCCGGGAGTTGAAGCTACTGCTGTGGGTGGACACTGGGGAGCTGAAGCCCTGCGTCGCGCCGTAAGCACCCTCTTCCTCGTCCTAGAAAAAGACGTAGAAGCAGTGTCAGCGGCAGCTTGTGCTGCTGCTGCTGCTTCAGCTGAGGATTCGCCTTCCGCCGATGTTCCTTCCGCTGTTTTCGCCGTTGCTTCTGTTGTTTCCGCTGGTGTGGATGTTGAGGCATCTTCCGCCTTTGGTGATCCTGTTGCTTGTACTTCTCCTGCAGCCTGCGTTAGATTCGCTGACGCCTCTGCCGCTGCTGCTGTCTCCCTGACAGCATCACGTATCTGTACGCAGTCGGCTGGCTGGGCCCCTTTTGACTGCATTTCCTCCAGGGTAGAACAAATGGGACCGCGGATCCCAGCGGGCTTGATGGCTTTTGGTCGTGACCGCCTCCTAAGGCCTCCTGCACCACCCGGTGAGGCAGGTGCAGCAACTGAACAAGTTCCGTCAGCAGCGGCAGCTGCAGCCGTCTCAGCCACTGCAGATGCAGAGGCAGTTGCAGGCGTCTCGTCTACTGCAGCGGCTACAACCACAGTAGCAGCAGCTGGTACTCCATCGGAAGCAGAAGAAGGGGCCGTCGAAGCGAGGCCTCTGTCCTCCTGCAGCGAGCCCCTTATAGCTCGAGGTGTCCTGACGTTGGCACTGCCCGTAAGTGTTGGACATTCTTTGTCACTAGGAATGCATGCGGATGGTGCGGTGCCGTTCGTGTCTCTTTCTTCTGGGGGCAAGTCGGAGGACTCAGCCTCAGGGCTGTGTCTGTCGCCCCGGCTGCTGCTGCTACTGCCTCTGACGCTCATACTGCTAGACTCCTCCACTGGTTCAACCTGTTTGCAGATGCTCTCGCTGCCTGCGCTGCTATCGCGCATTTTTGGTTTTATCCCAGACACTGATTCGCAAGTTAGTCGGCTTTCCACAGCCTCGCAATTTCCCCTAGATGCCGTTGCTTCTGACGTTGCTGCTTCTGACGTTGTTGCTTCCGAAGGCTCACTAGCAGGGCGGGCAGGGCGTTCCAGCTGCTGTATTTGTGGCTCATTCTCTTCACCAGACCCTTCCCCAGCATGTCTTGCAACAACCGAAGCAGCTGGTGCTGCTAGACCTGCTTGTGTGTTTGGGGGAAGAGGAGCGTCAGCTTCGCTATGATCCGCCAACACCTCCGCCGCTGCATGATCGAGCTGCTTCGGTGACGACACAGTGGCAGCAGCGGCTGACTCTGGTCGCTGCCAGTTGCCACCGGGACCCCTTTGGGGTCTCCCCACCGCGGGAGCTCTTTTGCGGCTGCGTTGAAAGACAGCAGCTTCTGCAACTGGGCCTTCAATGTGCGACTGCTGCTGTCTTCCCTGTAGTTCTTGTTTGCGTCTGTCTAGACGCCCACCAGAAACGACGGGGGATGGCGCACGCTCAGAAGAATCAGGGGGGTCTACAAGCCCAAGGCTCGTGGCACTAGCCGCTGTTGAGTCGTATGCCAACTCTCCTACTACTGCTGCTGATGCCTTCTTTGTGACAACTGCTGCTGGTGGTGGTGCCAAAGTAAGCTTGCTTGCTGCAGCTCTAGTGTCATCTGCCCTGTCTGATGTTGTGCATGCTGCTGTTGTGCGTGCTGCTTCGGCGGCCGCAGATGCTTCAGAAGATTCACCTGAACTACACCAAGCGCTGCGGGACCACAGAGAAGCGATGGCTTCGGGCGTGACTGGTTCTGCGTCTGGTGCAGCTGCACTGTCTAGTGCAATAGGAGATGCCAGTCCTGTTTCAGGCGGGGACGAAGAGTAAGCGCTAAGGGAGGGGGACGATGCCCCCCGCATAAGCGGCATGCTACCCCTGGGACTTCCAAAGGCGTCCCTATCGTCTTGACTGGGGCTGCCGTCGCTAGATTGCACAAGAGACGTCCTTGACTGCCTCGGCCTGCAGGCTAGACTGCCCTTCCGCAACAGTGCTCCTGTTGCTACTGGCGCTGCTGCAGCTTCAGATTTACGTCCTCCGTCTCTGTCTAGAATGGACTCGTCTGAGTCGGTCTGCCGCTGCAGCAGCTGCGCCACGTCGCTATCTGGGGCCCTTCGCGCGAACTCCTCGAGCCACTGGTGGAGCTGCCGCTGCATCTCACGCGTTCGGGCGCCGCCAGCTCCAGCAACAGCACCAGAGACAGCCGCCAGTCCTGCTCCCCTGTGATGCTGCGCTCCTGCCGGCTTTGAATGCCCCTCCCGGAGGTGCATCGACCCTTGGGATACAAGGCCACCCGCCCAATCTCCAGCTGCTGCAGAGCTTCCATCGGCTGCATCTTCCCTGTTCTCGGATGCGCCAGTAGCTGCCGCTGCATCGGCTTGGTGCGCTTTGTTGAACAGCTCCCATGAAAAAGAAGCGTAGATAAAGGTAAGCGTAGGAATAAAGAAATTCAAAAACAAACCAGTGGTCAACCCAAGCACGGAAGCGGGGTGTGCAAACAGGGGCTGATACGCCAGCAACCAATACAGCATCCAAGGGACCGTGGAAGCGGTGGTGAACGCTGATTTCTTGTCCAAACAGATCGCCATATTCAGCAAGTCGTACCTTGAGAGGCGAATAACACGCGAGCAAACACAATCGTCGAGTGAAAAATGGACTTAAACAGTTGACAGTGCTGACTCTCCATCTGCCAATCATGTTATGTCGATTTTGTTCTGCGTAAATCTGTCTGTGTCTGCGTCTGTTAATCTATTTCTGCTTCTCTTCTCCCCTCCGCCTCCGCACCTGGAGCCGATCTGGGACAGCACAATGTTGGGCAGCAAAGCCGCAACATGGAAGAGACAAACAAAAGTAGCAGCAAACAACGGGAGATGGCCTCCTGAGGTTCCCAGCATCAACGAGGCCAACGCGTTGGAGGATTCCGCGGCGCCAACAAACGCGCTCGCGCAAAGAGAGCCAAATATGAAGAAAAAAGAGGCAGAAAACAGACTACTCAGCCAAACAGTGCCTGATATCTGACAAACAGAGGCACACGCACCCTTGCGCCTTCCCTGTTATCCCACACGCTAGTGCGTTCAGTGATCACGAGGTGCCACACAGCGGCCCTAGCAAAAATGCAGCTTTCCTTAGCTCGAGCATTAGAACTGACAAAGGAGCATGGACGCACACAGATTTATGAACACAGAAAACAAGGCGCAAACATGCGCTTACGCTGGAAGCGATAAAACAAAGGAACCGAGAGAAATACGAAAAATTCAGGGCCAGCGCTACAAAGATAGACAGCCTGCGCAGTGCACGATGCCTTAAGGTTTAACCGAGGTACACAACAAAAAACGAACTTGAAAAACGAACAGAATAAGCCAATTAAATTGACTGCGCCTCACTGGAACTTCGTCCCTGACTTCATTTGCCCAAGATGGGAGTGAAGAGGAAAACCCGAAAGCGTCCACCATACAAGGGATCGCCGTGCGAGCAGCAAAGCCGCCGAAAATCGAATGCAGAAATGGTAAAAGTGTACCTTTGCCTCCACCAGCTCCAGCTGCTGCTGCTGATGCGCTCGGTGTTGGTGCTGCAAGCGCAGCAGGGGCTGCTGTGGCTGCTGCTGCCGCTCCTGGAGGACTTCCATATATCATCGGTGCATTACTGTCAAGAGCTGCATTTGCGCTTGCTACTGCTGTTGTTAACGCTGCTGCTGCTGCTGGTGCCGGTGTGCCTGTCGCACTTGTCTGAGATGCCCAATCCCAGCCCGAGCCGGTGATGCGGAAAAGAGCCGCTAGGCACACGTTGAAGGAAGCAGCAACGACCGCGAAAAACGAAATAAACTGCAGGTTCATTGTGTCCTCAAGATCTGAAGCGGCCAGGCGGAGACCAGCTACTGCTGTGAGAAGATAGCCCAGTGAGACACCAACGTAGTTCAGGCAGGGAACGCAGCTTGCTCCTGCTGCTGCTACACTACCGATCTCTGCGCACGTTGATGTACATGTACCTGAGAAGATTTCCTCGAGCTGCTCGCGAGAAGTGACAAAGACAAACGGACTGTAGTTGGGTAGGATGTCCCACTCATTGAGCGAGTCTGCTGTGTACACTGCAGCGTCTGCCGCTGAGTCAAATAGGAAATGCTTGAACCTCCACAGCAACACCACGAATTCCCTAAGAGGCCACATGGACAAGGAAAACAGGTCGCCAAAGTTGCTGCTCAGCTGCTGGAGGTTCGCCAGCAGGGAATCCCCGCCGTATGGGACAACAGGCACGAACACAGTCCAGCCGAGCACTCTGAGAAGCAGTGCATCGACGCAGTAAGCCACTAGTAGCGCCGCAGAGGATGCTCCCAAAAAGGAATTTACATATAGGAGAAAGGCAATAGCCTGAGACAGGGACGAACGGTTCAAGCCCCTCACAAGCGAGCTAAGACGATAAGGAATCAGACGTAAGTCGCCAAGCAGTTCCCCCAAACCTCGCAAGAACGGAGGCGCTGTGGTGCTCCCCTGACGCTCCTTGATTTCAGCTGGATCGTCAAGTTCACCAGGGGGTGACTCCGTTGGGGCAAGGCCCATGGCTTTACACAGCGCACCGTCTAAGCGCTCAAGAGGCCCCATATGATGGGCATTCTGTGGTAACTGCTGCTGATCCTTGTCGTCTGAGGCCCGTGAATCTGACTGCTGCAGCGCTGCAGTAGATGCGGAGACTGAAAGGGGGGGCTGCAGCGTTAAGAAGTAACGCAAGATGGCGGAGTACTCGTAGCGCTCATTAAATCCTGAGTTTCCCTCTATCAAAGTCATGCTCTTCAGTAGCAACAAAGCGCAGGCAGATGAAAGAAAACAAAATAAATATATAGACAAAGATGCCGCCGCAGGGCCAGCCGTGCGCACCAAGGAAGGCATCGACATCAGACCTGAAGACACGCGCACACAAATAAGCACACACATAAACCAGCAAAGGAGAGAAGAGAGCAACACCTAGGAAGAAAAATGCAAGCAAACCTAAAGGAACATAGTTCTACCGGGAAAGAAAAACCTGCAGACGCTCTTGAAGTAGAAGAAGAAAGCTAAGGACAAGGCAAACAGGAAAAACGGCAAGAGGAAGACGAACTGGGAGGCAAATTAACAGCAAGTAAGAGGGAAACAAGACACGAGAGAAAAAACCGAAAGATGCACGAAAAGAGATAGCCGCACGACGGAAGCAGCGGACCAGCTAGACGCAAAGGCCAGGCACAATACAGGACTCTTCGTGCAGAGCTGCACAACACCTGGGCTAGCTAGATGCCGCCGCTCGCGCCTTGGCCCTCATAAAGAGAGCCAGAAGTACAACAGCAGCACGAAAGCTGCTATTTGAACTCTGCCGTGTTCCTTTCCCACTGACCCGAGGCAATGATGTGATTGCAAATGAAAACAAAAGAGGCGAAGACTCCAATAGTCTTCTTGTACTTCCACAGCACCGTTTTGTGCCTTCTCCTTTTTCTCTCAAACACTGGGGGCCCTCCTCGGTGCATCCCACTAATACGCTTAATAGAAAATAGCGATGCGGCACCCCGCAGAGAGGAGCTGGGTCCCCCAGGGCCTCCCCCATCATCCTGGACGGGCATTTGTCCACGTGTGTTGGTGGAGAAAGCGCCAAAAAGCCAACTCATTATTCCGGAGCGACCCCGGCGATGGAGTGGCCCTGATTTTGGCGCTGCACGGTGACTTGGGGTCTCGGCCCCTGAGGACTCTGGGGCCCCAGCAGCCCCTGAGGATCCCCCTCCTTCAGCTTCAACCTCATCACTGAAACGGATACTGCGACGGGTTGCGCGGGGGCCCCTCTCCGGACTCAAAGAGGAGCGCTTGCTCCCCTGGGGTGCCTCGGTGGCTGCATTAGAGGCCATTGGACAGTAACAAAAGGCAGATTAGCAGGGAGCTTCAGAAGCCGCTGTCAGACCAGGAAGTATCTCAGAGGCTTCTGCAGCGTGGCTAGCGGAGAGGGATGTTTCCCTTCCTTCCGCGGATGATATCGATGTGCTGCGGCTGCGGCGCCAGTGTACCGGCAAGCCGGCCCAAGAGGGAGCCTGTAGACTCAACAGAGAGGCTAGCGAAGCCTTGCGTTGATGCAGAGCGTCACATATGTTGAAGTTTTGCTGAAAGGCCAGTGAACAGTGGAGAACCCAAGTACGCTGGGGCGGCCTCACTTCAGCCCGCAAGGAACTGCTAACTGCGCCTTTAATTTACTACATTCAAAGCGTTTTGCTCCCGTGGCACCCACTGAAGGCTAGACTGGGAATAGTGGGGCCCCACGGCGAAAGCTTAAGCCGGGGGCCCACCGTGTAGGTGTTGGAGCTGTGTGCGTGTTTCGGCCCCACAGGTTCCACACTGGCAAAGCCTAACGCTTAACATTTATGCTTGTCTATGAGATACAAACCGTGTAAATTTACCGCTTTTTGTTCTCTGGCCAAAGACACAGGGTTATTAAGCCCGAGGCTTAGCACTAGAGGACAGCCAACCCCTTCCGCGCCCGCGCGGCTTTCGTGAGAACGAACCAAAGTTTTTGTCCTTCGAGGCGTATTATTCTTAATTAAGAAAAAAAGAAAGTCAGTCAGATGGGCTTTTGCGGTGCTTTTCATCCATTGTTCTAACTGGCAGACTAGCTAGCTAGGTAGCTTAGTGCAAAGGAGTCCTTCCTGGAGGTGTCAGCCAAAGAACAGATTCCGAAGGAAATTGTCTTACTGCTGCTGCCTATGCAGCTAGCCTGTAAGCATGCGTGCCAATCAGCTCGCGTGCTAGGTCGGAATACTCACGGAAGCTGCAGGATAGCCATTGAACCCGCCCACCAGTTCCTGTGTTGCTTTGCGTGTACTTATGCCGAGGCCAGCGTGAATGCCGCACATTGCCCAGTTTCTCATTAATATTCTGCAGGCTTCTGTTGCACATGACTCTTAGGAGCGTAGCTAGGTGGGTTGCGTGAGGAGTGTACAGGTTTTCCAAAACCAGCTAATGCGAACTGACAAAGGGAACCAAAGAGGCAAATAAGTAGCTGCAAGGGTCTCGAGATATACATACAGCCGCTTTCCTTCACTCCGCGAGTTTTAGTTTCTTAATATTGAACTACGGAGGAGTGTCAAAATAGTGTCAAATAGTGTTTCGCTGAGACAGTTACAGGTGGTGTCGCTGTCCTCCGCGCATTTGCTGCAGTGCAGAAAACTGAAAATTTGCGGCGCCCTGTACGTTCCGTAGCAACGGACCAGAACTACATTTCACTGAAAGTAGAAAGTGATAACCTTAGAGCTCGACGGTGCCCACGAGGGCTCCCGGATGTAATATTGTTGAGCGCGCCCGTTGACTCGCAACAGGCACAACTCGGGCCAAACTATCTACAATGCCTCTCAAGCGCATGCCCTGGGCAATGACCCTAAAATACTTCTCTTTTGAGGGTTATTGGGTGGCTGCCAAGTCCCTTGAGGCCGAATGCGTGGCCCCCTGAACTTCGTCTTTTCATGCCTGGAGGGGCTCCCCAAGGGTCTCGTGCCCCAGAGTCCGCAGGCAAAGTTCCTTCTACAGCTGCCGCCTTTGCGTCACGGTAAGACTGGGCCAAGAGGGCCCATCGGCTGCTGGGACCGTCGGGTGTCAGGGGAGGACGCAGTGCAGCAAAGAAAGTACGGAGGCTGCAGAAGAACCATAACAGCACAGGCTTAAAAACTTAACGAAAGCACAGATGATTCGTAAGGTATTTACAACAGTCACGACAAAAAAGGGAAACAGAAAACTTTCATGAGCAGCTTAGACACAGAAAAGATACCCAAGAAGCCCAAGCTGCAAACGGAATGGGTGCTGTGAAGGGGTTCGGTTACATGCCACGCTGAAAACCATTGCAGCAAGATACAATGAGCGAATAGGGATGTGAGGAAGCGAAGAAGGGAGACACTACAAAAGAGAGAGAAGGCGGGAGGGCTGAGACGTGAAGACCCACTTCAAATTATTCAGGGCGCTGGCATTCATTGTCGCTATTACCGGCTGCGCGGAAATCGCACCAAATAACGCAGCCATGGGGACAATCATCCCCACAAGAGCACATGTATTATGAGACGTTAAAAGAAGACATCAAGCGTTCGCGTCTCCGAGGCGCAAAGGAGAGTTTATACGGGAGAAAGCAACAGCAGGGACAAAAGCCGCGAGAAGGCTCCATAACAGCCAGAATTATTCATACATACACAACAAGAAGCACATCCGCAATTGAAGGTACACTGAAGGACGAAGTCCTCGTACTGTTTGGGGATAAACTCTCATTGCCTGAGGGAGCCCGCTGCTTGAGTGCCATTCCGCTGCTATTTTGCGGTGTATGTGCAAGGTAGCTCGTACGTAATGTAACTGTGCGCTCTCATGTGCGTCTGTGTGTACCTGCATAAGACTTTTTCTTTCTTCTTCCGCATTAATTGAAACAACGCCCTTTTTAATGCTGCTCAAGTATCTCAAAGCCGCCACCACCAAGGGGAACTTCAGCTCCAGTCCCCTCTTGACTCCAACCACAGTGTCTTTTAGTCGCCGCTGAGTTGCACTTGCGGCTACCAAAGAGCCAGAAACGCGAGAAGGGACCCCTTGAGGACCTCCAGTAGAGGCCCCTAAAGGAAGAGGAATGGCCGCGTGGCAGACGTCTAGTGCTATGCGAAGAAGTTGACCGTTGTTACTGGTGGTGCTGCCCATGCTGCCCACGTTCCTGTTGCTGCTGCTGCTGTTGCTGCTGCCGCTATTCTGAGATAGCAAGAAGCGCAGATGCTGCAGCTGCAGATATAGCGCGTCGGGAGACACACAGTCTACGATACGGCCACCTTCACAGAGAGGACAACGTAGTGAGGCCCCTGGGGAGAGGGGCCCCGGGGGTAGGAATTCAAACTTGTGTTTGCACTCTGTGCACCTGCACAGACATCACACCAGACCGCATGCATTTGTCCCTCGATTCCAGCTACGCGCTCGCTCTACGTATCAGGGATGACAAAAGAATCAACGCCTTGTCTGTTTCGTATGTGCCAGCACCACCAGGCTCAAGTCGCAACGGGTCAGGGATTTCGAATTCATATTCAGCGGCGCACATGGATAGGATAGCAAACAGCACCTAAATAAAAGCGAAGAGCCCCCAGTGTAAAGTTTGACTGCCGTCTTACCGTGTGACGTGGATATGAAAACTGTGTCGGATGAAGGCGAGGTAAAGCCGCAGGGTGTCCCTCAGCGCCGAGGGTGACAGCCAGCCACCGCAGCTGCTGCACTTGGACGTCTGAAGTCCCATGAGAAAACATTAACAGCAAACCTAGAGGCGCCGCTAGGAAACAAACAAATGAGTGAGCCGAGGCTCGGGAAAACGAACACAGACGGAAGCAGCAGCATCGACACCAAACAGTGGGAAAGCGGAAAGGCGGGGTTGCAGTGTGTGGACACCGGTACGTACCATGAGGCCCTGTGCAGCTGTAGTCCATTCGCCGCATAGACCACATGGGATCTGTGCGGGTATGTGGCACTGCACAAGCGCGTAGTAAGCGTAAGGCGCAGCAAACACAGCTTTGAACAGCAGCGATAGCACTAATGGCGGTCGCTGTGAGAGCAGAAATAGGGCAGGGCAAAGCATTGGCAGTCGCAGGCCGTCGAGCAAAACGCCCCACAGTCAGTGACCCTCAAAAGGCTCCCTCACCCCCATTTTCCCTATGGAGTCTTTCAAGTCCTTCAAACTCCTGCGCGTACCTGCTTGAATGCTTCATCTGACTTCTTGATGAGGGAGAGAATTCTGTCTTCTCCTTTTTGCCTTTCTGTCTCCCCGTTGGGATCGTCTTCTGCGTCGTCTCCCAAATCCTTCTCTGCGAACTTATCCGGATTGAGGCCGAGACACTCTGCTATGCGCGCAGCAGTAGTGCCCTGTACGTGTGCGCAAAGTCTTTGAACGGGGGGGAACAGCTGATGCTGCAGGTAGTACGACACATCAGGCTTAAGGCCCAGCGCCTGCACTTCCGTGGGGTGGAATGCACGCTCTGCTGGACTCCGGAAACGCTGCTGCTGCTGCTGCTGCTGCTGTTGCTGCTGCTGCTGTTGTGGCTGTGGCTGCTGCTGCGGCTGCTGCTGTGGAGGACTTGTAGGGCTCTGCCCCTGCCTGGCCTCTGCTTGGCGTATGCTTTCTTCGTCGCAAATAATGTAGGGGATTTCGTTGCCTGCCCTCACAGGTCTGCCCGCTGCTAACATGCGCAGCGCCACTAAGACATGGGGCTGCGAGCATGAACCGCTCCCCTGGGCATACAGCTGAGGCGACTTTGTGAGGGCTCGCGTTATGACAAAAAGATCAAGAGGGACGCGGCCATTGACTATGGCATCTCGCATAGCGCAGAGACGCTCGTGTAGCAAAGCAACTACAGTGTCCACAGTGTCTTCTTCTACTGCTCCTCCATCCTGCTGGTGGTGCTGCTGCTGCTGCTGTTGTTGGGGAGTCAGGTTTACGCCGAATATAATCTTGAGGAGCTGTTCACCTGCTTGCCTGGTGAGAAGCGCCCAGTCTCTCCTGACGAAGTCCAGACCCTTTTGCTCAATCTTATATTCTTTCTTTTCGTAGTTCTGTACAATGCAGCACGCATATTTTTTCTTTCTTAACAACAACAGACGCCGAAAGACAGCTTCCAAGTCTATTTCTAGCTTCTTGTATTGTCGGTTAATCTCCGCTTTTATGCGTTGGCCCAATCGGAATGCCTCTCCAAAGGCTTCCCCACGACCGTCATCACGCAGCCCTGTGTCCACCTGTACGAACAACTCAGGCAAGCAGCAACAGCAGCACGATCACGGAAGACCACACCGCAGCATGAATTCGTAAATAGAAAGCTTGAAAAACGTTACGGCTGGCAGACGCTGTAGATAACCCTTGCGACCTAGGAAATGGCATGTGTGTTTTTGCACGTGTGCGTATAGTGAAGAGATGCACACAAGTGTACAAATACAATACGTTTGTATCTGACAAAAACATGCACGCTGCACAACGCGAAAGTCGGTGCCAGTGGAGGCCTGCTACAGCCACAGTAATGGCGAAAATTCACAGAGTGTCTAGGCGCCCCTGAAGCGCTGCAGCTGTTCGGTGTTTGTACCATGATGGAGTCTGTGTCTCCGTATAAGACTGATAGCCTCATCTGCTGCTCCACCTTGTCCTTTGCAGCCATCAGCAAGGCCCTCCCTTGCTGAGTGATGAAAGCTGCGAGAGGCTTCGCGTAAAAGCGGCTTCCCGAAAACCCTAGACAGCCATAGATACTGTTGGCTGTGAGTTTGAGGGCAAGCTGCTTTGCATGTAGCGAGGCTTTACGCGCAGGGTCCCGTTCCCTCTCCGCTGCCATCTTCACCTGACGTCGCTTATGCACCAGCTGTTGCAGCACCCGAGGCAGTAGTCCCGGATTAGAGTCAATCCCCAGCACTGACAGCTCCCCCCCGTCGCTGCTTCTGTCCTCCCCCAAAGCCATCTGTGGCCGCCGGACAGTAGAAAAGCAAATATTAAACTCTTGAATTATAGAAGGGTATAGGGAATTGAAATCCAGCAACAACACAAATGTGTCGTACAGGCCTACACGGGGCTCGAGCACCAACCCTCCGGCGTAAGATGGTGCACGGCTGCCACGGGTTTCCCCAGCTCCGCCAGCAGCCGCAGCAGCAGTAACCGGGCCATCCCCTGCCTCTCCCTCGCTTATATCATCCTCACCACCACCTCCAGCTGCAGCAGCAGCAGGTGAAGGTGCCTTACTCCTCTGCCGAGCTCCCAGTGGGTCTGGGTACACAAATTTTTCCGCGTGAAATGCATGCATGAGGAGGAATGAGTTCCTCTCAGCCCTCGCATTCTGCAAGGAGCGGGCCCATAGGTTGCCCCCTATAAGAGTGAGCTCTCGGGTTATGGGCAGGCAGTTGAGGGTCTGCGCCAACACCAAAGACATGTAAGCTTCAAGGCAGCAAAGGTTTGAGGCGTACAACAAGCGCGACGGGTCGGCAGCCCAAAAAAAGCTCAGTAGGTCCTCACATGGAAATGGTTGCATGCGCTGCAGCTCAGAAGCAACGCGCCGGTGAAATGCGGTCATCTTTCCGTTGTTTTTGCCACCTCCCACTGCCGCCTCCGCATGGGAAAAGGCTTCCCTCAGCAGCGGCAGCAGGTTGTAGTTTGTCTTGTGACCCAGCAGCTCGCGTGCCTGCAGGTAAGTGTCGCAGACAAGTCTGCCCACGGAAAGGACGCGTCCCCCCCAAATGCACTGCTGCTGTTGCTGCTGCTGCCTGGGATTGCTGCAGGGAGCCTTTTGTGCCTTGGGTCTCTTGAGCCGCGAAAGCTTGTGCCACAGGGGAAGTCCGTGGAAATTGCAGCGGCGAGCGATCAACTCCAGGTCCGCGCCATACACATTGTGACCTACAATGAAGTCAGGGTCCTGAGCATAGATGCGGTTTATGAGGTTTGTCAAAAGCACCTTTTCCGTATCGAAAACCTGCACAGCGCTGCGCGCCGCCTTTTCCTCGAACGCGGTTGGCAGGCCGCCGGTCATAGCTCGGGCCGACACGTTGGGGGCTCCCCCAACAATAGGGGCCCCTGGAGACCGGAGTGCTCCTCCTGCGGTGCCGCTTCTTACGCGGCGCACACCGCAGAAGACATTTTCTTTTGATAGCACCGGGTGCGTCTGGGGGTCCTCTATATCTATGTGCCTTTGCACGCAAAATGCAGCCATGCAGACCGTCCGGTCCTCCATGGGGTTATTGATGACGGATATTGACTTAGCAACAAGGGACAAGAGAGTGAGGGGAGGAGCGGGAGGCTCCTTGCCGTCTTCCGCGGGAGGGTCACGAGAGTCCTCACCCCCTGCTGCCTTTCGAGGGGCTCCCCATACTCGTATGGGCTTGTGGCCCTCCACAAGGACTTCGTGGCGACACCAAGACACCTTTTCTGCGGGGGATGCGGGGAGACTAAACTCTGTGATTTTGATCCAGCAGGGCCCTTTGATTCTGCGCTTCACCAGCAGCACCTCGGAGAGAGGGGCTCCAGAGCCAAAGACGCGGGAGTAGGTGGTGCCCTCGAGGTCCTCCATCTGCAGCGGAGGCGCGCTGCCGGGACAGAATGCCTTAATCACTTGAAGATCTCTACCGCGGGGTACTCCAGGCGCGTCAAATGCATAGTGTCTTTTTGTACTTTTGCATTTCCACAAATGCCATTTGTACTTCTGCTTCAGACGCAGACCGTCCACTCGCAAAAACTCCTTGGCATTGGACTCGATTGCACGTAAACGCGCAGACAGGAGGGCCTCCCGAGCTTCTTCAGGGCTGGGCTTGGGGCGCCCGGCGGAGTCCACGGAGACCCCTTCTTCCTTTTCAATTTCGTCTGGCCCCACGTCCAGAGTTACTTGCTTGCGCAGAAAGAAGAATAGCGGACGCATCATCCCGCGCACGACAACGCAGCAGCTTTGCGGAGGCGGCAAGCCAGCACCCTGTTTTTGCTGCTGCTGCTGTGTTGCTAAGGCCCAGACCTTACCGAAGAGGTAGACAGTGCCTGTGGAGGCGTCGTCCCATGCGTCAAGAAGATAAAATGGCAGAGTCCCATCCGGGCAGACAGGGAGACCATCTGAGGCTCCCATAGCTTCATCTGCCACTATGGGCCCCCGGGGGATCTTTTGGTCCGTCAGCTGCTCCTCGCCAGTTCCATCATGGCCTGCAAACAAGTCCACGGGTACAAGTTTCCGCTGGAGGCCGAAGTGCTCTTTGTGGCTCTCGAATACTTCAGGGCCCCCTTTGTCCGCTGGCCCCTGCGCCTCTGGTAGTTCTTCTTGGGACGCTTCACCCGTCACAGGGTCATCAGCAGCCACCGGCATTTCATTTGAGCCAGTTGCCACCTCCTCGTCACCTGCTGCTTCTGTTGCTGCTGCAGATGCTGCAGCAGCTCCTGCTTGCTGTGGTGAGTTGAGCTTGGGGTCTCCTCTCTGGGGAATGGCGCTGGGACCCAGGGCTCCAGGGACGCGAGCTGGCAGAAAGTCCCCAAGACCAAAGAGCCCAAATGCGTTCGCTGCTTCAAGAGACTTGCTGCTGCTGCTGCCGCTGCTGCGGCTGCTGCTGCTGCTACCGCTGCTACTGCTTGTGCTGCTGCTGTTTCCGCTGAGGCTGCTGCTGCTCTTGTTACTTTTTGCGGGGACGAGGCCTCCTTCTTCCTCGTCGTCTTCATCAAGATTAAGGGAGGCCTCGATAGAAGTTAAGGCCTGCAGCTGCTTCGCCGAGTGGGCTGTCTGTTGGGGGGCTCGATCTCCTGTTTTCTCCGTGGCCATGCTGCTGAAGTGCTGCAGTAGAGAGCGCATACCCTGAGCCCTGAGCTCTGCTGCAGTTGAGGGCGCACCCCTCCTGGACTTCTTCTCACGGCCCGCAGGGAGGGTCCCCTGTGGGCTTCTTTCTTCACCCTCTCCGTGGGTCGCCCGCCGTTTGCCCGCACGCTTGGGCGCGGACTCCCCGTCTGCACTGCTGTCGGAGAGCCACCACTCCTCGCCATCGTCGCTGTAGCCCTCACCTGCGGAAAGGCGCAGGGAGTCATATTGGGTGGCGCCTGTCTTAGGCAGCGACCAGCAGCAGCACCACCACCAACAGGAATAGTAGCAGGAGGAAAAGGCGAAGATGTGACGCATGTGCAAACGCTGGAAGCCACTGTTGGCAAGTATAGGAAAATACAGGCAGCCAGTTCTAGAGAAAAGGCTCTAAGTGGAGTGGAAGGGGAAACGCAGGAGACACACAGAAGAGGAGACACAGAACGATCGATAAAGTGGCAGCAAGAGAGGCAAAGGCCAGGGAGAGAGATGCGCGCATCAATAGGTATTAGGTAAATGAAATGACAGCTAGATAGCGGAAAGTATATAGCAGAAAAACAGAAATAGACAGATGGCATAGCTGTCGTCTCACTGAAGTCCCCCTCTATCCAGTTTTCTGCCCTTCTTTGCTGCTTGAGCTCTGCGTATTCTTGGGCAGAGACGGTGGCAAATATTTCCGCGTTCTCGTCTCGAACCTGAGACGCGCAGAGCCAGCAAAAGGCGGAGATAGCCGGAAAGGAGCAATAGTAGAGAAAATATGGTGCAAAGGGGGGAGCTAATAGGCGCAGAGAGACCAAAAGGGAAACAAACATAGATAGAGAAACGCAAATTTAGACGGGAATCACTATTCGTCGTCGCCTTCGTGATTGAGGAAGCATCACTAATCAGGGATTTACGGCAGCGAAAAGTGGAGCCACAAAATGGCGTTAAAGACGGCAGCAGCGTGATTAAGTGGCAGCTGATGCAGCAGATTTTTAGTGCCCTGCCCCTCACCTCATACTGCTCTGTGGCCTTTGCCTCTCCTCGGCGCTGTTTCCTAATTTTCTCAAGGGCGGACAAGGCCCCACTTTTCGACGAAGATGCCATCGTTGGCTAGCTGCTGCGCACTGCAGCGACAGCAGTAGCAGCTGCAGCCTTTGCAGCAGCCGTTGCCACTGCCGCCCCCAGTAGTTGATGTGCCTTGTCTTCGTTTTTGAGGGCCCCTGGGACTTGGAAGGCCCAGGAGCCACCGGAGAGCTACCCAGGCAGTACGGGTGTGTTTTAAGGCTGGATTTCCCTCGGGTTGATAGAAGGGAACAGAAAGGAGACGGCTGGCTGGCGAAAGAGGGCTTGCCAAAAATTTGTTTTCGGGGCCTGTCCAGTAGGGCTCCCAGTTTGGGTCTGGAAAGACGAAAAAAGGTGGCAGTGCCAACTCACGCAATTCATACACGTCTTTTCCGTCGTGGGTTTTAGCTTAAAACCCCGAAAACTGGCCTATTAATGTGATGAAGAACCTCTAGCTTGGGGCTTGTGGTTCTTTGGTGGGGTGGCTAACAGTGGGGTTGTGTTCTCAAGCCTGCATGGCTAATTTTGCCATGTCTCTGCAGCAAAATGTATATGCAGCAGTGTACGACAAAAATTGAAAATAATGCAAGTGAATTAATAAAGGGGAGTGTGAGGGCTTCGTAGAGTTCTCATAGACCCATATTTTGTATGTTGGTGGCTTTCTGGTTAACATTTTACTGCAGCGGTTGCAGTTTGATAGTGCTGTGTGCAGGCGCGCAAGCATGTCCATAATTAGGAACTCGAACACCTCTACGTGAAGTTGTTGAGAAGAGTAAGAATCTACTATGTAAGCGGTAAACTGTCGGCTGCTGCTGAGAAAGAGGATGGCGCCAACACAATACATTGAAACCCTCAATTAAAAGTAAAGAAACATTTTAAATGTGTAACGAGCCGAATGCTTTCTTCGGAGGATATAAGCGAACATTTATTTATGTCTACCGGGTAGCAAGAGGCCAGAACTTGACATGGTGCAGGGGGCAGTCGCCAAAGCCGCTGCATTCAGCCGTATAGGACTGGATGCAGCTGGCTCTGTAAATGGAATCTACTGGGATATTGCCACTTTAGGTAACCTGTGTGTGTATCCCACACAGTAATTCAATAAATAACTGAGGCCTTCCTGAATATGTCAGCGCCTGGTCGGAGTTACTTAGTGAAGCCCATGGGGTCACAGACCTTAGCTCTTATGCCTGCAATAAACTTCACCTCAAGAGCCTACAAAGTGCTTGTGCAGCATGAGGGACAAATGCGCGCACAGACAGAGTGAGCTAGGCACGGTCTGCGACTCCTGGCCGCATAGCGTGAGCGAAGTGTCTGTTTTCTAAAGGGCTGCTGCCAGCCCCAAACCCGGGCCTTAAAGGAGTACAAGAGAGGCAAGAGACACTTTAAAAGCTGCTATTATCCCAAGCTTTTGCTCTCTACACCTTGGAAGTGTCCGGACTCTCCTAGTTCAGGTCCGTGGAGAAGTCTAGTGTCTCACTGTAGTGTGCTGCCCAAGAACCACTGACTAAAGAGTCCTCCTTGATTTTAAAACCAGTACAAGTTGTTTGTTCTTGGGTTTTCACTGAGTTAGACACAATGAATAACCAATGAGCTTTTTTTCTCCAGATACCATGTTAAGGTTGTACACACTTGCTGGAGTTTCTAGGCTACTAGTGTCTTCTTCCCTAATTCCTACAGAAACGCTCCCACTATTTTCTAGCATGATGCTTTTTAATTGGTGAACGCACACGGCGTCTGAAAGAGACTGCACTTGTCAAAGTGACAGAATATTTGTCAGGGATCATCTTTTGTTCTTTGAGTTTCAACCTAGATTGTAAAAAAGTACTGTGAAGGCAGCATTTTGTGAAATTAAAGCTGTAGCCATCGTTCTGACCCCAGTTAGGCACGACAATAGCTAGCCACGGCTGAAGCTACACATCTTCAGCAGAGATGTACTAGCCTCTGGGGGAGCAACGATGCCTACAGCTCGAGAAACTGCGTACATTCACTATGAAGATTCGAAATTTGTCCTGTACACTGCCGTTACGGATCTATGTTTTCCTAGGGCATGTAATCATCTGCCGCCTTCCAAGATTGGCTCTTTACTTTTCTCGACTTTGCGTATGATAATGGCGACGTGTCCATATGTTTACTTGGACGAGCATCCTTCTCATCATATTTCGCTGATTTTTTACTGGCTGGTGTTCTCGCGCTGTGGGCACAAGCCATCAACGTGTGCAGGCCTTACGCTCTTCCTCTAAAATGGAAACCGTAAGCTCTCAGCCCTAGTTCCTCAGCGGACGATTTGTATTGCCCAGCCTGCGGTACTAACTGTGGTGCTTCTTTCGTGATACCGCCTCTTTGAGGAAGAGTCTGAACACCTAACGAGGATCTTATCGCTAATTCGCTCTAAGCTTGGAGCTGGAGACCTACAGGCATGTTGCCTACGCGTTTGTCTGATGTGACTTAGAAATGCGGAATGACGGTTATTATAGGGCAATTTAGTGGAAAGAGGGAAAATTGGTGGTGTCTCTGCATGCCAATTCAGGTCAGTCTGCTTTTCTTATGCTTTTATTTCCGCTTTGCATGTGCAGTTGTACCAAAGAGACGAGACACAAACCCGAAAACACATAACGCCCACCACTCTGCACGCAGTAGTCACACTGCTTTCTATCCTTAAGGCTCGCGTTCCCTACTTATCGGTATTAGCTAGGCGGTAAATGGGGTGGCTAGCCTGGGTGAGTTGGCCAGCCTGCCTGAGGATGAGGCATGGCTAGCCAGCGAATGTGTTCTGGCTCACCAGGGTGGCCAGTACGGCTAGCTGGGATGGAGAATATAGCTAGTCAACGCGTGGGCCGTAACAAGCATCCCACAGGTATGTCTAGCCATAGTGGGATCTGTGGCTAGCCGCGGGAGTCCGTGTGGCTGCGTCGCTAGCCACTGGAGCGGCTAGCAGGGCTGCTGCTGGTTGCAGCCCCGGTTATTGTCGTTCCTCCTGAGACACTTGAGCGGGGGATAAATGAAGAAAGAATTCTACATATAAAAGTGGCATAAAAGGTCCACGTTGAGGGCGCGGGGGACAGCAGGGCCGTAATACTAATAAGAAAACTGAACCTCTTGTATGCAGCAGCGCCGCATGAGTCAAATGACGCTGCGCAAATAGCCGTCTCCTCCTCAGCTTCTTGTTTCCTTCCTTCTTGTCTTTGCCTCCTAGCCACTGTGTGTGTCTCCTGCCTCTTCGCCGGTTTCTTCGTCATCTCCGTTAAGTACATGTGTGGACACATGTATCTGAATGTATTTACATATACATATTAATATGTACTGTATATATATACCCGTTATTATGTACATATGTATATGTACATACGTGCACTAGTCGCTGCTTTCCCTTCTTTTATCATGCCCCACAGAGTCCAGTCGCGTGGCAGCAGTTACTGCCGCTCCACGTGGCAGACGCTAAAGGGAGAGTGCAGAGAGAGCAAAAACATTGAATTAAAAAGACAGGCAGAGATGCGACGAAAAACCGTCAGCTTAACGGCATCACACAGGGCGATTGGCCGCTTCTAGCCGCAACAGTAGAAGCAGCAATAGCAGCAGCGGCAGCGCCCAGCTCCTCCCATACTGCAAAGCCGCAGCAGGTGTGTGTTGTCCTTAAAAAAACACCTAACAAGGATTCCCATTTGGTTGTCTCCTTGTTTAATTCCCGTCTTCATCCTTTGAAACTTCCATGCGGCTCCTCCCCTCCAGTTCGAAGCCCATATGCACTAAGCTCAAAAACTTGGCCGCAGGAAGAAAAAGTGAAATAATAAGCATTCGCTGTGTGCATGCATGCTCCCGCTGCTCTCATGCACGCAGCAGCAACTACCTTGTTCACCAGGACCTGTGAGACACCGAATATGCCCTGAGCCGCGCTCTGGCCTTTCTTCGCTCCTTCCTAAAGCCCTTGCTGCGCTCCCTCCTGTATGAAGACAGAGAGACACAGGAGGAAAAAGAAAAAAGCAGGACCCGACGGAAGAGGACGAGACAGCGCATGTATTAAGCCGCTCAGGCGGTTTGTTCTGAAAGAGCGTCTGTTGGTCTCAGATGAGGCTGAGGTCTCGCCATCCAGTTGTCGCTCGTGTGGGCCCTGGGGCTCCGTGCCTGATGATATGTGTCTATTTCTTGTTCCTTCTTTTCCCTAAACTCTATTGCCTTCCCGCGAGCAGCCTGGTGGGTCCCGAAGTCTGCAGTCCACAGCACATTGAGCAACCAAAACAACTTTTGTCAGCACACCTGGCTACCTTGCTATTCAGCTATCCAAACTTCGCCTGGTATCAACCAGAGAAAAGTGAGCTTCAAAAGGCGTTCACTTATCTAGGAGATCCCTGGTATGCACCGAATGTGGCAAAAAACGAAGACAAAGCAACAGAAGGCAGAGGCAAAGATGCAGTGATTTTTGACACTGGACACTTTCCAGACCCAAGCGAACAGAACCGCGGGCATAGCTGCAGGTACATAAACTACTTCAAGGAAGCAGCACAATAGCAGGCAAGCAAGAACGGAGAGGCAGCAAAACATCGGCTGGCACTGTCACAGACATACTGACCATGTACTGAGAAGCCCTTAGTGTGAATTCTTCCATTCTCCTTCCAGTTTGCTCTCCACAGTCTCCTTCTCTTGTCATAGTAAACGCCTTTGCGCGCCACGAAAGACAAACGCAAACCCCCGTCCTCCACCACAATGTGGTTGGCCTTGCGGGCTGCTTTCAAGAGGCTGCCCTCGCTACTGCCTGTAGCACTAGACCGAGCAGAAGCAGGAGGTAAACGGGACGGGACCCCCAGGCGAATACGATGCAAGGGCGGTGGTTCGCCGCCAGCAGCAGTCACGGCAAGGGAGCCGTTTTTGTGCAGTACCTGACCAAATGCACCACACAGCAAAGCTCAACTTCCTGTGTCTGTGTTGATCTTCATCTCCCACGGCAAAATGCACTTTGCTGCATTGACTCTCCGCCTCAGCCACCAAATCCAACACAGAAAACGAATGAGCAGTGAACTAATCAGGACAGCAGTGGGACTAAACGTATT